GCTGCAGGCTTGGGCTGCCCAATTCGGTCCAATTTTTGCGTGAGAGGATAGTGACATCAGATGCAGTATCTATTTGCATTCTACACAAATAACCGTTAATATTAAGAGTAATAAATTTCCTCTCACCTGGTGATGAGCTTTGGCAGGAAGATATTAGGCTCAATGCATTGGTACTGGATCTAGGAACAGGCTTCTTAGCACTTCTGGATCGCTTTGGCTTTTTCTGTAGGCAAAAGCCATCTTTATGACCGATGACTTTACACTTCCTGCATCTATGCTGCCTAAATGGGCAGTTCCGTACATAGTGCCATGAACCGCAGTGCCAGCAAGCAGAAGGTGGATTCATTTTGGGTTTTTGGGCCGAATTGGAATTTTTCTTTTCACTAATGGAATGCACGTATGATGAGAGGCCCTTGTTTTCGACCATGGAGGTATCATGCTTCAAGTTTACTAATCTCTGGCACTCTGCAGTTATTTCTTGAAGCGAGATGTTTGGGCACTGTTCAATTTTACTTAGGATTCTGGTTCTTATATCAGCATCGTCGGGAGATTGTAAGCTGCACACAAACACAAGGCACTTAAACTGATCTTCCGTCATTGATGATAATTTAAATCAATCGCATTCACGATTTACTAAGCCAGCATGCTTTACCCAGTCATCTTCATTTGACTTGATTATTTTGAGGCATTGATAACGAATATTAAAGAGAGATGACTGTTCAGAGAAGATTTGCGACAGCGTATCAATTGTAGCATCAAAAGAGAAATCTCTTGGGTTCTTTGGGAGGATGAAATTACTATAACGTTCGTGTTCGATTGTGCCGAGCTTTCTCAAAAGGATTCTGACTTTGGTGGCGTCATCAAGATTGTTGAGGTCGACCTTGAACAAATCCTCATACTTCTTAAACCAAGACTCGAAAGTCACACCAGCAAGGCCATCAAAATGAAATTCATGAATGGAATTAACTATCGAGTCTGTATGCGGATTATATGAATCATCGGCAAAACCTCTGTGATTCAAATTCATTTGTTTCATTAACAGCTCCAACATACGTTCCTGGAACTGTTCATATCGTTTACCTTGACGTTCCAGTAAAGATTCTAACTGTTCAAGATTAATTGACATTGTGAATTGTGAGCCCCGTCGCCACTGATATGTTCGGCACTTAGTATGCTTGAGGCTATTACGAGTTTACCTTAGTCGATAAACGCGAACGAGACTTTTACCAGCTTCCAGGAAGGCTACCCTGAATCCCAAACTCGAAATAGAAGACTTTGTAGGCGTAGAAGTATATTCTACAAGCACCCAGCAATCCCAGTACAATCAAGCATACAACTCTCGTTTATTTATACAACATAACAACGTCCTTGAGACAGTTAAGAAAATAGCATACTAAAATACACTGTAGCCAATCACAGCCATGGATTTTCCTGGTGGGAATTGAAATCTCAAGGTCATTTGATCAGCCCCTGCTGGCGAACGTGAAAACCGAAATACGGCATTATCAAGCGAATTTTGGGGATCTAACATCCCCAACAGTCAGCAATCAATATCAACCGAACAAGAGCAGGGAAAGCCAAGGCACAAACCAACCTGCAAGCGAACAGGAGCATTAGAGCTAAAAAACGGAAATATGTGGAAGATCAAACAGTGATAGCAGATAAAGCTGCAAGAGAAGGCAGCACCAGAACTACCAGTCAAAAACAGGTAAAGCAACGCTATCACCGACGTTCAAGAACAACGACTTCTTGGGTCGAACGGCCCCAATGAACCTAAACAACATCGAAGCAAAACCCACGGACCCCCCAGTAGCTGTTGACCCACCAACAATTGAAGAGATCAATCTGGCCACCAGACAAATGAACAGCGGCTAAGCAGCAGGACCAGACAACGTTCCAACTGAGGCACTAAAACCAGACGAATCAGTAACTGCAAAGGTAATCCAAATTCTCTTCAATAAGATTTGGGTTGAAGAACAAGTACCAATAGACAGAAAGGAGGTTACTTCATCAGAATACCGATGAAAGGAGTCCCTTGCAAGTGTGAAAATTATAGAGGTTTCACTCTTCTATCGATACCTAGAGGAGTCATCAAAAAAGTGTTGGTGAACCGAATAAAAGATTCACTATACCCACAACTTCGAGATCAGCAGACTGGATTCCATAAGAATAAGTCGGTGGCTTAAGGTCAACTGGGAGGTAACAGGCCTAAGTAAGTAAACATGATGATATAATCAAATCTTGTTACAACTTAATTCTAGCAGAAAACAGCTACTTGAATATACATAAGTGGTTCCTTTCTTGTTTTCTTTACAACTCATTAGTCAACAGATATCTTCAATCATTCTCACTGTTCATAAATTACCCACTACTCTTACTAGTATCGTAGAAGGCCAATAGTTAATTTTGTTTTGACGCTTGTTTCCTTAAGTTTTTATTTATAATGCCAAACTGGTTGGAAAATCATAGCGTTCACCTGGTAATTTAATCTAATACAAACAATTTTATTCATCATAGTTATGTTCTTTTATATAATAATAACCAAAATGTATTTGCGCTGCCCTATTAAGTTTTCTTTGATAGTAATACTGACAATGATATCAGTCAGTTGTAAAATAACAGTGTCTGAATTATTTTTATAGACTGTCAATTGTCGGTGGTGAACACGCCACATAAATTAATTAGTGAACTCAGAGTATTTGTACATGATAATTTATAAAGAAATACGATAATAATTTAAATGAATTATATTTAAAATAATAAGACACTTTGTCTGACGATTTGACTGTAGTGATTGCTTAATTTATAAAGCTTTAACACCAAAGTGAATGATATAAACATTTCGAGAATATTGTTAAATGTAGAAAAAGTGTTAATTGGGACGAACATAAACGGAAACTTCAACTGCATACCATAGTAAATAATGCCTTCCTTCATAGTATATATAAAATTACATTCAATACACGGAACTTTATGGGACCTGATGGTAAAGTGATTTTACAGTCTTCGGTTTTCTCTATACTTTCGGCATATCATCTCTAAGTCTTATTCATTGGTTATTTTCACGAAATTGTTTTTTATTTCTAATTTCCTTTGTGGAACACTGAAAAAGTGATCTCAGTTATTTCGCTAAGACAAAAATTTCTCGTAATAAGTCTTACCACTAAATTCATAATCTAAAGTCATTGAGTCTGTGTTATGCCCATCACTAGGTATGCTTGAAACTATTACGGGTTCACCTTAGTCGATATACGAGGGCGAGACAATGAACCAGCGTCCAGGTAGGCTACTCTGATCTGATGAGCCAAAGGAACTAACGATAAGTCTAGATATAGCGTAGAAAATGTATTCTACAAACATCCGGTAAGCACAATTAATTCAAGCACAATAGCTCTACATGTTCTGCATTTATGAATATTTGACTGAGTATATTACTATATGAGTTTACGAGTAGTGTAAAACACTATGAGAAATTTAATGGACAAGTTGTAAAACTCAATAAATAAACTAATTTAAATTAGCGTGTCTATTTTAAACATTTAACGATACTTGGAAGAAAGTTAACCATTACTAAAAACAAAACTTCTACACAATTTTAAACAACTTGCAAGTGGTTGATCAAAAGTTAAATAGAAAGTCGTATTAGAATACATAAATCGCCTTATTGTAAAACTCAAAAGTTATCTGTAAAGCAACTCGGTAATAGTACTGGTAGGCCGAATAGTACATTCTAAATGATTACCAATCAGTTTAACAAATATACTAAACTTGTACACAAAAGTGACATTCATTATGTATGTCTAGGAAGCTCGGATATAAAAAGACTCTATCCAAATACAATTCTGAAAATCAACAAAAGGACAATACAAATGTTGGAATATTAAAGATTGAGTGATAATCACAATGAAATGAAAAAGAATACGTCACTACATATAATAGGCAAAAGTACAAGTGGAGAGTAGGAAAATAGGTGTACTGATAGTAGTAAGAAAATTACAAAATATGATAGCTAAAGTTTTATCAATAGTAGGTCAAAGGTGGATGAATAGACTTCAAATAATCATCAAAAACATCAAAACCATTATGTAATAAGAAGTATGTACATTGCATTGACCTTCTCCAGTCGACCAGCTATGTCTAAGTTACCTGAGTTGGCCTGCTCTATGTGCATTTACAAAGTCAAAATGCCTTGATTGGTTTAACATTTTCATATAAATATTCATGTATATTAGAGTAAAGCCTGATGACTATCTAATCGAAAACAATATTGTTCGCTTAAATAATGGAATATAAACATTTTTCAAAGGTCATTTATCATTTGGAGAACAGTGTGGCATTTTTTTGTCAAAATACATCAGATAGTATAGAAAAGTTGCATTTTCGTCAAATCAAAACTAAAAAGAAACAGATCATTATTCAGAATCCGGATAACAATAACATCAATAGATTTTACAATAAATGAAATTAACAGACGAAGTTCAATGGTGTCTGATCAGTGATGATAATAACCTTGAGAGTCACTACCCTTTCAATGTCACATGCTTCAATTAATTTCTATGATTTCATAAACACTCGACTCTAATTGGAAACCCCTTGTTTTTATAAACAAAATGATGATAATAATAGTAATAATAATCATGATAACAATATTATTAGTAATAAGCATAACAATGAGAAAACAAAACATTTCATTGAAAGGAAGGATTGATATAATGTGTAGAAATATTTGTGTTTTTTATTGATGGACTAATTTTACTGTGCTTTTTATCATTAATCTTTCTAATGTCTGAACATTCAATCGAATCAACAATCGTTATCGTATAATTTTTTTTCATTTTACGCAGACTTTTTATTGGGCTGGTATTCTTTGTTCATATACATATATATATATATATATATATATATATATATATATATATACTCATTCGTTGAGATGGATTTATTTTCAGATTATCAATTTCTATAAACAGCGAACGAAACAACTCTCATTTGATATTATAATGTCCTTATCTAATTCACTTGATGAAAACATTTTCTACGATACACCTCAGGATTTACTTTACACTTGTGAACAACTCACAGTGAATTCCAGTCACATTTTCAAAGTACACTGTGTTGTGTCTAAAGTTCTCGGTGTATGGTCAGCCTATTTATTACCGATTGTATGTGGACTTGGTTTAATTATACACTGTCTTCTGATAATGATTATATTAGAACGTTTAAATTCTATACCACGTCAATTAATCTATACTGTTTGTTTGAGTTGTTCCAATATATTGACAAACATTTTATTTGGTTGGTTATGGTTATTTCCCGCTAAAGGTTTACCATATGCAACCAACGGACAAATTTATTATTTCTTATTTAATGTGTCAAGAATTGCTTGTCGTTTGTGTCGTTTCACCTATTCACTGAGTACAACATTTACAAGCAATTTAATATTATGCTCAGCTATTGATCGTTGTTTGAGTATATTTTTACCGGTAAAATTTTTAAATTTGCCAAATCGTTATGCATGGTATATATGCTTAGCTGTTTTATTTATCAGTAGTATAATGATGTGTCCACTTTTATTTGTCATGGATTGGATACAAGTTGGACCATTTTATATTTGTTGGATGGAAGAATCATTATTTCAATTACAAATTTATCATACAATATTTGCTAATTTAGGTCTAATACAAAGTATTTTAATTGTTATGGTCAATATCGCTTTCATCGCTCGTCTTAAAATACAAAATAAACAAAGACATTATGCTATGGTTTATACTAAGAAAGAATTAAAATACATATCTATGTCTATTATTTTGTTAGCATTTTCAATGTCATATGTATTGACTGCGTTACCTCAAACTGTAGTATACTTACTGGCATTTCTGTGGTCGTATTCACTTGAGAATTTTAATGAAGAATATGAAGTATGGATAAGACTAATGTACAATGGGGCAGATATCGGTTGGAATCTTCATTTTACACGAGAATTAATTGATTTATTTATGTATTTTGTTTATTTAAAGCCATTACGTCGAATATTATTGAGCAAAATTCGAAAAATTATTAATGCTGCTCGTCTATGGAATTCGATTTCATCATCGAGATCGTAAACATTCAGTGAATTCACGAGAAGAAAAGAAACTATATGAACAAACAATAAGACGACAAACATGAAACAAATCTAATAGAAAACAAACAAACATTTATTCATATTTTTACTGTTTTTTCAGTAAATTTTGTTTTCATTATTTATGCATTGAATCATTTTGCTGAAAACGTGTATTTCACCTATGGAAAATGTCATTTTTTTTTAGTTTCAGGAGCAGAGAATGAGAGAGAGAGAGAGAGAGAGTAACATAACAAAGGTACATTATCCATCCACTTGTCCAATGAATGATAAACTAATTAATTTTAAGTTCACAAAATAAAAATTACCATTTCAATATGCTTTTGCTTATAGTTGAATCCTAGTGTATTTGGAGAGTTATATGATCAGTTAATATACCATTTGTAATATGTCAAATGAACTCTAAAATCACATATCTTTACGTTACTCGACAAAATGTTTACAATCAACACCTTAAAGCTTTTTCAAATTCGTGACTGATCATCTACAGTTTGGATAAATTGTTTACCTATTACGACACATATGGAATTTCAGTGATATCCAATTTGATTATGTTGTGGAAAGTGTACACACATCTGAAGTATCAGTTTTTTTCAAATTATGATAATGATCTTACCAAGCCAAGGTGTACAAAAACATCACATTTTAAAAATTGTGAATTTGGTAAAACAATTAACATAGAACTAAGCATTCAAGTACAGAGTCACAGAGGTAAAAGTGTCAATCATATCCTCGAATTCATTGCATGTTTATTCTTTTAGTATTTATGGTATGTTCTAGTATTTATAAATTAAGTTTTAACATTACGAGAGTTATTTGTATTTATACCTGTAAAATTCCACAATAAAATGCATTCTTCCGTTCAGTGTTTGAGTCTTAATTGACAATTTACAAAGATAAGTTGTTTAAAGTGTACATTGGTTGCATGCATTTCTCATAATCTGTCTTAGAAAATTTCTATTTTACTAGGGTGATATTATGAAATATAAATGAAATCTCCGTTGTGATATTAGATTTTAACTATGAATGTTATTTACATCTAATTTGAAACACGACACTGTGAATGTATTCATTAAATAGGATGATTATATAATTATCGTCTTGAACGGACAACTAATAAGGAACCATTGAAAACCAAGGAGCCTCACACAGCTGTTTCATCACAGTTTGTTACTCATCAGTAATTCTCACTAACGATCCTCAAATGAATCAAACTAAGAACCTTCCAATAATCAGGTGTACAGTTGCATATTTAATAATGTCAGGATACAACATACGGATGCGTTATTGTTACCAGTCATTATATTTTATTTATGCCTTTTTTAAATGCAGGTGAAAGTCAGTCCACTGCGCAAAACATTCAATCAGTTACTTAACTAATATCAGGAGTTACCAAATTTATATTTGAATTCGTCTATTTTCCCCAAACAACCTGAGTGAAAGTGGTTTCTAATGGACACGTAAAACGACTTGGCAGTAATACAACAATCATCGTGTGGTACTTTGTACAGTTTTGGAGTTCCCGAAAATTCCCCACCTTTCCAACCCTTCACCGACATTAGACCACGCCGAAAAAATGATTTTCATACATCTTTAGTTTGATGATGACGCTTGATGCTCATTAATTTCTAAACAACTACAGTTAACTCAGTGAATAAATGGTTGATTTCGAGCTTACTTGTAATCGAATCGTCTTATGTGAAGTCAGTCATTCAATATTATGCGTATCATATCCATCTGACAGATGTGACCGTATTCGAGCAGTGATGTAACCTAAAACTAGTTGTCAAGTTCATTTGTAAGTGATTTTAGTATCATGTTCTTGAGATTCAGGAATGAATTTTGGTCAGTGTTTGTTTCCACATGTATGTCCCGAGTAATTATGGATAAAAGTTTGATGAGCTTGGACTGTGGCTAGCAGTGGGAAACATAGTGTTCATTTTATCCTATCTGAAACTCGTTAAATGTAAAAACCTTCATGGGTGATGATATTCACACTGAATATGACAGGGTATGGATATATTCAAACTCAACTGCGTTATTCTTCAAACTACTGAGTCATTTAGTTTAGTTTATATTGTTTTCATAAATAAGAATTTGCATTATTTCATCGTTGTTATTATTCAGGACTTAATTAAATGTTACATTCACGTTACGATCAGAACCTAAAGCCTTCATTTTGAAATAATTTTTTGGTTTTACCATCATGAATTTATCGAGTATACATCAATTTAAGGCAGTCTATTAAACCCAACCGCAGCTACTACGTTGACATGCTGGTCGGGCTTGCCTGTCATGATGACCCAACAGAGCTATATTGGTTGGAACATATATTCCAACCACGCCAGGCAAGTAGATTGGAGAACGATAAGACTAAAAGCAGCAACTCAAGGTTTGAGGGTGTTTCCATCAGACAACCAGCATCTGCAACGAAGCTTCCTTTTTATAAGGAAGAGAGGGGTCTGAAAATGTCAACCTTAAAAATATCATACCTCACCTTGCCCCACAGGTTTCGGTCTCAGGCGATAAAGTCATTTAAAAAAGATAGGAGCAATCTAGAATGCATCACAACTGATACAGGCTAATCTTTGGTCACGATTCCATGTGGATATAAACGGTATCATTTCCCCAGTATACATCAAAACGTTTCGAAGAGTGTTGATAGTTACGTAGAAAGTTTCAATTATGTGTTTTTAAAATGCGTTTCAACTGTTCTATCGTACAGCGTTGGTCAGATAAACTGCAGTACCAATCCATGATAGTCCACAAGAACCGTCACTTAATGATGGATCGTACCGTTTTTATTGATAATCATGGGAAATTTATTGAGTTTTGGTATGTTTATGATATTTTTTTACCTTCCTTTATCTTCAAGCATAATGGTCTTGGATGTTCTGCTGAATAGATGGATAACGTAAATGATCTAATAAATTGTTCACATTGCAAACTGGATATCAACTTTTAGGTACACATTCATATGTTATGTACAATAATTTGTGTTACATTATTAGGTGTTGCCAGTGATACAAAATGAATTAAGCAAATAAAAAGAATGACCTGAATTATGAAGCTCTCTGTTTGAGTACGGAAAGAATCTACTGATCAGTGTTTAGAGTGATTATTGAAAACTGACTAGGGAAAATATATGTTTCTTCATTGAATTTTTAATACTCAAACAACTGAAATTTTATATCAGTGAAATGTTTTGTTTCCGCATTATAATTACTGTTGTTATTATTGCTTTCATTATTAAAATTTTGTTTATGAAAACAATGGGTTTTCAAATAAAAAATTTGTATTTATGAAACTGAAACCATGGAAATTAATTGAAGCATGTGACATTGAAAAAGTAGCGACTCTCAAGGTTATTATCATAACTCATCAGACACCATTGAACTTCGTCTGTTAATTCCATTTATTGTAAAATCTATTGATGATATTGTTTTCCGGATTCTGAATAATGATCTGTTTCTTTAAATTTCTAAAACAATACTGTCTGTTCACTGTTATATCAAAACTTTTTATTTTTGATTTGACAATAATGCTACTTTTCTATACTATCTGATGTATTTCTATTTTTCCAAACAAATGAGACATGATTTCAACGAAATAAAATAATCGCCATATCTTGCCAATAAATGTCGCAAAATGTGCTCACTAGTGACCAACTTCGTGAGGAAATCTTCAGAATTATGGAGAAAATACATGCTCTATGGAGTTCAGTACTGTCGAGTGTAGGCGGTTACCTACCGACGACAATCTATAAGATCTGGGACAGGTTGAGGATAGACATTAACACCGTTGCATACGAACTAAGCGGCCGAAATGTTATGCATTCGCGAGCGACACCGAAGGTCCAGAGTTCGATTTCGGCAAGCAGTAGCGGACGCACACTACTGATGAGTCCATACCAAGACGAAACGGCCGTTCAGTGCTTCCAAGCTTCTAATTGTGGTTTAACTATAATCGATTCATCATTCCAACAAAAATACTACTGATATTATTTTAAGTACCTGTTTTCTACTAAAATTATGCTGTAGCGAAATTTACTTCTAACATCATATTCGCTTTTCGTAATTAAGAATTTGCTCACAAAAACGTAGCCCAATTCAACATCATTGTGTAATTTTCGAAACAATATGTAATTAGGATTTATTGTCTTATTATTGTCTAACAATTACAAATTAATGTATAAGTTTAACATCCATTATAAAACAAACACTGTCCACCTCGGTCGACGCAACTTCACTATTCTCATAAGATATGAGTAACACGGCATATTTGGTCAATATGATAAACTTTCAGTTCAACATTCGCTTTCAGTCTGATCGATATAGTTTTAATATTTAGTTTCAATATTTCTATTTATTTTATTCAATCTCAATAATTTCCAGTGTCTTCAATCAGTTATTGAATTCGGGCAGAATGAAATTCCTTTGTAAGTTACAATTATTTCAATGTAATTAACAATCACTAAGGAGTAAAAATTATACCCTGCTTTACAAAAATAAACACATATACAGGTATATGTTTTTCACAACACATGGATTAATAAACATCAAGGAGAGAAGAAAGTTAGGGGAGAAATATTGATCAAATAATTGAATTGTATAGGCGATTTTGTTTGAGGTCAGTAAACAATTACTTGTGAATAAATAAAACTTATTTTACACTGAAAAATGAAGATCTGTTTTTGTTGAATTCAATTATTCATATCTTTATTTTGCCCAAGTTAAAGAGTTGAAGACGCTTCGTAAAAATAACATCACGCTTTTTAATCAATGCCAATTATTTTTGTGAAATCCTCACAACAAATAATTAAAGGTTTCATTTTGAAAACATTACGATATGTGTTTATCTTATCCCTTTCAAAATACATCGCATTTATGACCTGTCTGTGAGAGTGTGATTGATATTCGTATTGTGTTTTGTTAGACATGAAGAACACTAACTTGATAAACCGGTTATCTTACTTCGAAAGTTTTGAAAAAGACAATTTTAACATTTGAAAGGAAGTAACAATTTCGTTTAGAATATTTACTCTTCCGTTAATGTGAGCGACTGTATGTATACTACTGTGCTCATCTAAATTGTTAAAAAGGATAATGTATCGATCGAATGATAGGCTGATCATTCATTAAATAAGCACACACTTTGATAATCTACTCATGAAATCGAATCACAAATCTCAGCTGTGTATAGTTATCACCTCTGTGTTATTTATCTTGAAAACACAAACTTTTTATTATCTACGCTGAAAATGTATTCGGTAGTCATGATTGTATATCTATCAGTCTACTTAACGAGTATTTAACGAGTAATATTTCGCTAACCAATACTGAATATGAAGGTCATGGAACAACAACCAATGAGACTTTAGTTCTGCTCATCTTATTATAACTGTATACTAGAAAAAAAGTTTCAATTCTTTCTTTTCCTTTTTTTCTCTCTGATATACACAAGATACAGACGCACTAACTAATGTACAAACAAGCATAAGTGGATGCATGTAAACAAATACTACTTTGCCTATTTTTGCACTCAATAACAACCATTCAATTTTCAATCTATGAACAAATTTATGATTGTGTCTAACGGTTCATTAAAATGAAATCCCCTAATCAATAGATTCATTTCATTAGACTTCCGGATAATTATTTTTTTCTCGTAATATGAAACCAATAATTATTTTGATAGAAATAGTCATATAACCTTATGTCTCATCTTATTAAATAGCAGCATCCATAGGTTAGGATGTCTTCTTGAACAGTCAAACTGAAATTCACCTTTTTAATGAAGAGAAATGCTGAAATGTGTCAGTGATAAATGGAATATATATTGTTTGACCAAACGACTACTAGAGGAATTGTGTCTATCATACTTTTGACGTTGAAGTTCTTATTCATATATTTATTGCCATAGTACGTAGTTGTCCGTTTGATTTTTTAGATTTGTTCATTCATGGGTTTCCTACATCTCTTACAATGAGATGTTGATTTCCACTTAAATTTTTCGTAATTTCATAATCGCGTTACAAATTTATCATAAAATTGCACAGAATTAATGGCGAATAATGCATATTCAAGTTATGTTATCATTTTAGTAGTTTATATATTGTCAGTGAACATATTATCTTTTTCAACTACGGTTACGGATATTAGAGTTTTTCCACATTATTATTAGGCCGCTATTAGAAAGCTGGAAGCCCTGTACGGCCGTTTCCCCCTATCAGGTGTAGGCAGTAACTGCCAAAGACAAATGGGTGAGGTTGTTCAAAATCTCTAGATTGGTTAGAGTTAGACATTAATACCGTTGGATGCCGGCCCTAGTGGCTCGGAGGTTAGGCGTTCACGCGCAAGGCCGAAGGTTCTGGATTCGAATCCTGCGAGATGCAGGAGTCGTGGATGCGCACTGCTGATGAGACTCATACCAGGACAAAACGGCCGTCCAGTGCTTTCCTGCTTCTAGTGGTAGTCTAACAATGATTGATGATTTTAATGTGTAAAAACATTGTATTGTTATCAAAATTCTTACTATCAGTTTTCATATAGTTTTTTTGGTGTGTCCACTGGTGGCCAAAAAGCATAGCTTCGGAACAATGGTCTTATTTTATTGATCACAGAGTGACTACTACTAAACTGATTAATAACTTTCAGACAAAATCTTTCCGAAACAGCACCTCAGTAGCCGAAAACAGTACATGGGTTAACAACAGTCAGAGTGCCACGTCGCCGAATTTGTAGCAAGAATTCTCGTGGAGAACGACACCTCGGACTCTGGATGAGAAGGTAACCTTGAACTTCTTTTAGTGTCTTGTTGTCTTTAGTGGCTTCCTTGATAGATGTGAATTAAATTGGAAGACCATCATCAAGAACTTGCAACTCCGTTTTAATTTCAACTATTGCCATCAGGACATCTTCATTAGGGTACTCTTGTGAACCAATAATCTGGACAGTAATGACTTACTGACGTATAGAAATTACTGTTACTCGAAGCACAGTTTTTAAAAATATGTGTATATCTATAATGCTACGTTACAATAAATCACTGCAAGGGAAATGTGCCCGAAAACCGCAGACGCAAAATGACATCGAACAGATAGAAATAAATAATAATTTGTTGTTGCTGTAATTAACAAATTAGAACTGAATTTTTAAAAACAATTAATCTTCATAAATATGAGTACATAACAAAACAGAGAAGAGTAGAAGAATAGTGGAACACTGATCAATACAAAGTGTGGATGGCGGCTGATAGCAAAGCAGGGAATAACGAAATTAATAATTACACGCTCAATAGCGAAACTGAAAGTAAGTGATATACCATGTACACACGATCTTGTCAAATCTCATTATAATATATACATGGTACAACTGCACCTTATTATGAATATATATAAACGCAGAGAAGCACCAAAGAAGTTTCAAAAAATCTTCTAATGTGGCTAATTAAGCACACACACACACACACAATGCCACAGAGACAACTTATGTAAATAAAGTAAATCTGAGACGATAAAGTAGTTAACCGTATAAATATTTCCTGATTACGAATAAAACCGTAAACAAAACATAAAATGTGATTACGTTAAAGTTCACTAATCTGTGGTAGTACTATCATTCAAATCTAAGAACGATTTTACTAGATTTGATAATACAGCTGAATGCCGTCTAATAGATAATTGGAAACCTTTTGAAACTGGTGGCAATGGAAATTCAGGCAAAAGTAGCTGTTCTCTAGGTGGAGATGAATTTGACAACTGGTCGATCGCTTTAATACGTTCATATTCTACGGAATCCAATGAGGCCCAATATTCCAATAAACATAGGTATCTATGAGAGAGAAAAAAATCAACAAATGGACATTGAAATTATTGAAATTTTTTCGGAATATAATCGGTTTTTTTTTGAAGAGAAAGTATACAACTTGATATTAAACACAATGACAATGGATCAACAAAATGAAGTAATAAGACCACAAGTAACATGCATTCAGTCAGTAATTATGAATGAATACCCTAACACAAATGTACGTTAGCTAAAGCTGATGCTACTTGATACAGTGGTGAGTCAATCAAAATTTAGCACAATCAATTTACTTCATCCCTTTTAATCTTGACACTCAATAGCCGTTTCAGTGCCTGTTTTAAAGGAAACTTGAGTATAGATACGAGTTCTTGGCACTGTAGCCTATAATGCTACTTTTCATATTTATCGAATTAAAAAAAATGTGTCATTGTGTTATAAACATGTTCAATCCATATACTCAAGGGTACACTAATGATGATAGAGCCAGAAAAAATTGTAAACTGAGTAAGAAATAGAACAGAATAAGTTAACATTTAATGTCACAACGCCTCATCCAAAAAATAATGACAATATTACTTTGAATTTTAAACCACTTCTGTACATTTTAGAGGGATTTTTGGTGGAAAAAATGTAAGTAATTTTAAATCCAATTCAGGTTCGATACACAAATCACTTACTCTTTACATTTAGTTGCACAATGTTTGATAATTTCATTACGGAAAATAGGAAAAGGATTTTGCACAATACTTATCATTGATTGGAGATTTAATGCTATCACAGCCTCATTATAAATACGACTTTGCTCTTGATAGATTGGATCAGTACGTCGTTCTTCATAACCGGCTTCATTAAAATATGGTTCCGAGTTAAGAATCAAACCTGTAGATAAAGAAGAAATGTTGTCGTTTGTGTATTACTAGGAGTAGTTAGCTGAATTCAGATAAACACAATATATTCAATATGTAAATTAGTAGTTTATATGTTGTCGGTTTCATACTCTAAGCACACTAGATTAGCTGACACCACCATTTATCTAAGTTATTGATTAAATTTATACTACTTACATTAATGCAAGTAGTTATACGAATTACTCAAAAGTTTATTGTATCCATTAAAGCGTTTTAGACGTGAAAGCATCTGGAGTCATGGTTACAGAGTGGTAGGCAGGCCCATACTTGGGAAAGACAGGCTACACAACAATTTTATCTGCTTTTAAATATCTGATTAGTTAAGCCGGTTTCCGACGAAAACCACTACAGAATTTACACAATAAGCAAGAAAACAAGCGGTTTAGTAATAAATATTCATCAATCTCACCTTGGATTGAAATAGCTAGTTGTAATAAATTGGATGTTTCAGCACTCCAGTTTTCACTACCCTGACCACTCCATGTGCCCAGTAAAGAAAGACAAATATGCCCATCGACATACAAATTCGGATTGACTTTTTCATTACCAAAACTGTAATAATATACCTTTAGTTGAAAATGTATTAACGAAAAACTTGAAGTACTATGGAAGGTGAAATAATGTAAAGGTTTGAGATAAACTGACAAAAGTAGAGCAGGACAGCACCAAACTAGCTGTTTAATTCTGGTCTAGTAGCCTTTAGCAATGTGTATCCACGATGGTATAAGGGAACGGACGCTAATCATTGTTTTGCGGAATGGAACTTGAAATAATCCATTTCTCTTATTGCCTCAACACTAAAGTTTAAATCATTGAGAGTAAGAAGTGAGAAATCTATTTACAGATATTTTAGCCTACGTTACTAACCACCAATGGGTGATAAGACGAATCCGAAATTTAACAAGAACTTCTAGATATATTATCTCACCTTATTTCATACAAATGTTCGCAAACATCATTATTTCCTAAGAGAAATAAAAGAAAGACCTCAAATTTTTTAGTTTTTAACACTAAACGCTGGTTTTAACGTGTAGGAAAACCTAGGATGGCTTTTTTCGATCTTCATTTCATTAAAGAACTTCGCTGTTATCTAACTGGTTGTTCCTGCCCTAAGTTCGTTAATTGCAGTGTACCGAAGGTCACTGTCTAATGCTAAAAATAGAAGGTTGGCGCTTGAGTAGATCGCGCAAGCGGAATTATTGGTAGAGTGTCGTAATGCATTAGACGTCCAGTTCATCAGGTTATGTCGATGCGATTTCTTAACAGAAGAATCTCCGCTAAACATTTGTAATTCAGAACTACCATGGGGTATCTCAATACATAAAAATAATTAGCATTTACATTGAGTGGTCTGATATTAGATCATGTGTGGAGATAATGCTATATTTTTTGATTTGTCTATCTAAAATAATGATTCCGAAACGAAGACAATGATCAGTACAAACAATAATTATAGCATAAGTTAATCGAAATTTCAACCTTACATTCTTGATTGATTGCAATTTCACTGAAAGTGTGTATGAAAAATCAACATTACTCAACAATATATATATATATATATATATATATATATATATATATATATATATATATTCTGTCCATTATCTGAGTAAAAAATGAAAGACGTGTGTCATTTTGTAAAAAAACTAAATTAACACTTTTAATTGCTTATTATAAGGAAGTTAAATTCGATTTATTTAGAACTATATCGTCAGTTAATCCAATAGTAATCTTTCTATGCTTGGTAAAACTCAATGTTAAGGAATGCACAGACCTAATGTATTTATTCAGTCCAGAAACACATACGTACATGTACTCTGTTAAGGAAAAACTTTGTGCAGGGAAGCAAAAATTGTAAACACTTTCGTTCGAACCAAAGTAGTAGAAGCATTAGGATTAGAAAATGTAGTTGAATGATCTGACTACGATACTTGTTTTCAAGACTTAAAGAGTAAGGGATAGTGATATTATCTGGTGGTCCAAACTGAAGAAAGTTAAGAGGGATAAAAGTCTGTCTTAGTGGTTGAAGAGGGCACATATCAACTACGAAGCCTCCAGTCCATTGAATGATTCATTCAACTATTAGTTCACCATATTAAAATGATGTCTGATTTCATTCAGTTTGAAAACAGTTAAACTCATAAAAATTTAACAAAATACTCTGTTTTGTTTTTTTGCATTCATCAATGTGAAATATTTCTTCAATATTTTTATCAAATAACTGGGGGATGAATAATATACACCTCTGGAAAAAAAACCGTACAATGAAAAGGTAAAAGAATGATGTAGTCGTGAAAGAGAATAAGAACTAGAAAAGGATAAGGAGAGAACAAAACACGTTTAGAAGTCAAACAATTGATGGATTATAAGAAAAATCTACATGAATATGACATGAATGAAGAAAGCATCGTAGACTTTGTTGTTAGAACTAAAATTTGCAAACAAAAAGATTAGGAAAGTAGACAATTTGTTCTCCTGCTGACAAAAATAAATACAACAGTTTACTGTTGGAGGCTTTCGTGTTTCGCCCAATACCAGGCTGTTAATTCCGACTCCCGCCACCGGTTTCGATTTATGCAGCGGAGAAGTAAATTAATGACACCTGCAGAAACAGTATGAACCCAAGTCATAGGATGGTTGCTTATTACTGAAACAAGTAGGTTGCATTATCGAACAATGGCTATAATTACTTCGATCCTCAGATTTGTGAAAACTATTGAATGCTATTGGTATCACGAACTGACCTATGTAAAACTCACATAGACGGTTAACATAAATCAGTGCATGAGATGACAATACTTTGGTTCTGGTGGTTTCACTAGATCACTCAAAAACAATATGCTTTAAAAGCCCCAATACATGACCATATACTCGATAAATGAGCTAGATTGGAAAAAAAGAAAATCACCAACAAAGTAAATGGTATTTAATAATCATAGAAAATAATTATTATCTACCTGTGGTGGGGTTGTAGGATAACTTGATGGTAAACCAATATCGAAAAAGAATAAACAATGTTCATACGGTGTACCAGATGCGCCGACAATCATAATTGAATAAAGATCTATGCGATCGTCAAATCCTTTAATGATCATACCATTTGGAAGAATAGTGGATAGTAGCGAGATCTGTCGACATTTAGAAAAAAGTACTATAGTGATAGAGAAAATTAATTTATATAATTTTTAACTGTACGTACACAATATCAGGCGTGTAGAAAGTATTTTAATTGTTACTTTTTTTAATTATCTTATAGAGTGCAAAACACATGAGATTGTTTAGACTTAGATTTAATATGTAAGGATCTACAGATCCTGATTGTTGATAACATTAGAGACTATAACTGATTAGTCTCTACTGACATATGCGCATCTGGAGTGGATTGCTTCAATATTTAAAAAAATCAGCACTAAAATGTATTAGAAAACAGTCGATGAGTCTCAAATACGACGGGACACGAGTCGTGGATTCCAGTGTCCGACACAATCTAACCTTACAAAGGCTTGGAGAAACTCAATTTACAAAAACAGTTTGATTTAATTTGAAATTGTAATGAGAATAGTAACATTTTCAGTCCTTGGTGTCGAGATAAAGAAGAGATAATTAGCTTAATAGACCTTAGAACACGTATATTTTCATAATCATCATAATACGAAGGACGAATAAACGACATTTTTGAGGAAATACGAAGTGAACTGGAATGAGAACCATGCAAGACCGAATTTGAGAAACGGAACTATTATTTTAAAGTACATAAAAAAAAACATCACTCACATCACGTCGTAAAGCCTTATGGAATGCTTTTGGCAGCGTTTTCTGACTTGATTTATAAAATCGATGATTAGAAGGAGCATTGGGTTCCATTATGAACTGGCCTATTTTATATGAATAATTTGAAAAATGAAAGCATTGTGTAAAAAGAGAGAGAAATAACTCAACAATGTTAAGATATGCAGAGATCAGTGCAACACAGTGGAGATATAATGAGAGTTTATAAGATCTGATCGAGAGAATTCCATGCAGTTTCAAGGTGGTCACTAGTCTAAACGACCAGATATCACTATGTAGAGATGTTAAATGATTAGAAGTATTCGCGACAGGAAACCCTGGACTTACGTTTAATGCTAGTTGCCGATCGTCAAAAAGTTGTATCTGTAATCTTGAGGGAACTGAGACTCCCCATGGGATTTGAACAAGCATCACCCAGCATCACAGTCTGAGATGTTGCTATTGTGCTTTCCAAAGAGCGACTGACCTCCAATAAGACTGAGATAATGTTGACAGACACAGTACAAAAACAACTCTTACTGTTCTATTTATGAAGATTTTTAAATTAAAACTAAGAGAACTATGCAAAAACTTTATACAATGGTATTAAAGACAACTACTATGAGTTAATATTTAACACGAAAGCAATATTCAGTGTTAATTAGTTTATACGAATAATAAAATTGAGAACGAAGATCATAATAATGAATAAAATAGTATTATGAAATTATATCTTCAAATAGTTTATTTGTCCAATATTGTTTGAAACTCCGAAAGATTATTGATTGGAATACCATTCAGCTTTATTGATAAGTAGAAAACATAATGAGATACATGTAAATAAATTTTTGGCCCATGTTAATTTTACAGGTCAATCAATTCTAAAGCTGCCAGTTAACAACACACACTTTATTAGTGTATTCGATAAATAACACTGAAATTTTCAGTTTGATTATCATTTACACATTCTCGATAGTGATTTTATGAAATGTATACTATTTACTAGTACAAATTTTAAATCTTCCCATATATGAAAAATTAATACCTATAACTTAACAATAACATGCCTACAAAAATTTTAGTATTTACACATGTCATAATAATATAACCCTATCATTTCAAACCAAAACCATAGAAATGACTGTGTATATTGTTGGAGTAGGCCACTACAATGTAGGATCCATCAGAAATGTAGGTTGGCCCAAGTTGCCACACCAAATTTCGTATGAGGGTTTGAAATCAACAGGAGATTTAACAAAGATATTGAAGTAATAATAGTAGTGTGGTAATAACTGAATGACGATCAGACGTATCAAGTCCATGATACAGAATGTAATAGCAGGTTATATACTACCGATAATAATTTTAAGTTGAACATTTGTAAAAATGTGCTGTTTCATTTATTTTCTTTAATCCACATGAAGTCTGGTATAAAATAAACATAGAATGGACTAAATAAAACTAGTGCATGGGCTGAGATACTGCCCGAAAGATCAAATAGTAGCAGGTTTTGTTAGGGGGCACTCTCTTCAAGCTTCGGAAGTGATAGTGCGGCAAAGTTACGATCTGCCGTTACACTGTAGCAAGTGACCAAAACAAGTTTCTTACGCAACTCTTTCATTTAAGATCCTGAAGCCCTTGTACACCATTCGTTCGAAATCTGGGTTTTCAAACTTCCCTAGATGAAAGTTTAAAACCATCCAACTCGAATACAGCACCGAACTTTCGTTTGTCATCTTCACTTTCATGAATAACATCACCAACGCACGAAAAAAGTTAGTACAATTTTTTTTACGCAAAGGTTGTACATGCATGCCTTTATGAGGGAAGATTCTCCACAACCTAGACCGTACCAGGAAATTCAGAGGCCAATAATTCTAAACACCTTGAAAGAGAGTAGTTGATAATGATTTCCAGAAAAACTATACATCCATGTTTCTCTACAATCTGAACAGAACACCTTAGTTTTAAACAGCAAACACACAAGTATCAAGTATCCTGGTGGACCATATTTCTTAATTTACAAAATCTTTCCTTTTCAAAGCCGCGAAATCTCTAAAGATTTATCATTGTCATAGAAACTTATATTTATATTTGCTTGATCTAAATTTCGTTGTGCTGACTCAGATCAATGTACATTTGTATTTGTCCTCATGTTGATTCTCACTGACGCTGCCACAACTCATTGCACATATTTTAGTCAAAAGAAGTATCTATAAGATTACCACGAGAAAATGGTTCATATTCAGATGGATAAGCTTTGGATTGAAAATTATTAATTTTTAGCAAATGATTCTTTGTTTGACCTATTTACGGGCTTATTGGTTGTTAAGTAGTGTAGCTCTGAGCTATTGATTTTATCTATTATACGTATATTTACAGGAAAATCTGTATTGATTGAAAGGTGTACACGTTTACTCAATACTAGTCACGTTAAATGGGTTAATTTAGTATTTTAACAAAGCAATTTCTTAAATATAGGCGTGCTTTTTATGAAACATTAGATCTACTCAATTGCAACTCAATAACATAATGCTCACCTCGTTGTTCGACCGGAAGTGACTCTACAGTTGGATCAGACAGGATAGATTTTATTGAAAAATTAGCAGAAGATGCTTCAGTTGACATATTTTCAGTTTCCGAAGATAAACTCGTCAACTTGACTTTTTCTGCAGTTGAAGTTGGAATATTTTCATTAGGGGAGTCATCTGGAATCTATACGCATTAAATGAGGGCAAAATATTAAATGAGGAGAAACCGCAACAAAACTTTAGAGTAGTATATTACAGTTTGATTTTAGTTAGACGACCTTTGAAAACCAGCAGACACCAGACAGCTTTAGTTCAAATAGGTGACTCCTCAGTGATGGGAAACTATGAAAAAAACAGAAAACTGAACCTTGGACCTTCAGGCAATGTGGTGAATGCTCAGTCTCTAAACCGATGACATGCCACCAACGAACGGTTAACATTTTCAACTTCAATCAATTTGCAATATTACGCCATCATCGTTCTTGGTCATAACTTCTAAGTAGGCCTCCAAGAATTGGATCAACGGTAATTTTTTTTAGCATAGGAGGGTCCAGGCCCGATTCGCAGACTATCCACTAAGATTCGTTCCTTTTGATGGTGCTTCTTGTGACCCAGAACCTCTTGACATGTTGAAGTGATTACTTTCTTGAGCATTTCCCAATTGTTTTCTTTGGTAGTATTTCCTCTCTTGAGTAGGTCGTGAAAGCCTTGGAACCTAATGCCGAGAACAATCTTGAATTCATTGACTTTGCCAGTGGTCGGAAAAAACGCCGTATAAAACTTTAGAGATGCTTTGATGTAAATAATGAAAGAAACTTAATTCTAAGGAACGCGAAATCTAAACTACAGAAGAGTTCTTGAGGATAAATTTTAAAAAAAACTGATCACTTTAAAGTAATGTAACTGATTATTAGAGGGATAATAGTTTCATTTCTCAAAAAAGTTGACTTACCACTTCACTGTGTAGACTAGCAACAGCATTCAATTTACTTGCTAACTCTACATTTACTTCCGAGTTATTGGCATGAACATCGTTAATTAACTCAGGTTCAATGGTACATTTATCAGAGTCTATTGCATACCGATGATGAACAACAACGTCATTATTGTTTATTAATAGATCATTGATATCAAATTTTCGTATATATTGTGCAGCACATTCATGAAGCCATGCTATAATCTGATTATTCAAATCGACCAGTTGTTCTAGAATATCCTTTTGTAGATCATGTATAAATTTGGCCAACTTAATGATTATCTCATTACTACATTTACAATTATATAGTTAACAAAAAAGAATCACACACATTAGTCAATAAAGCGATGGAATATATAATTCTTTTTTCTAAAAAATAAGATGAAACAAATTTGTATTTGTCCCAATTCTACTGAATAGATAAGTAAGCGAATTCGCTGATTATAAACTATTTATCTTACAGTAAACTTTTAAACATCGCTGTCTGTTTCCTACCGGTTATATATATATATATATATGATTTATTTCCTAACTTATTTTTCCCCATTTAAGTAGAATGAATTATGACTAACATTTCTACTAATTTTATAATTTTTCAAAGTAAACCCTACATCTGCCTGTATCGTTACAGGTCTCGACGCTGGCCAGTAATGTGACATTGGTAGTAGCAAAGGAATTTCTCTCAAGAATAAATATACACATTATAAGCAAATGGTGACAGACCTCATGCCACTAAAAGCACATTTTGTTAAAGAATACATCACATCCTCGCTTTCTAACGACACTGTTATACACAAGATTACCTCTTCTTAGACGTCTTCATCACTTCGCACTGCTAATACTGGTGATTCACGTACACGAAACGATACTCCTAACTTCCAAAAACTAAGCAATAGATTCTACTGATGAATAATATCGTCGAAACCTAAAATTTCCGATTACCGCTAAAACTTCTACTACCTCTAGTACTATGGGATTTGAAGTGACAACTGCACCTCTATGCTAATGTAGTATGACAACTTGAACTGATTTAGGTACGTACGTATGAAGTTCTATGTTGTTGCTGACTTGACTTGACTTGAAGCACTGGAGTAAATGTTGAGACTGAATGCTCAATGGAAGACTGACGCTCATTCTGGAACACATGTTTCGACTCTAATGATACTCTTGTACGAACATGTATTTGTCTGTAACTTACAGGAATCAAAAATGACGCAGCAAAGAAAACTTAGAATTTTCATGAATGATAAAAAAGCAAAAAGTACATTCCAGGAGCTCCTAGAAACAGTGGACAACCACGCAAGTGATATCCACCTAGATGCAATATGAAATAAAATTCAAAACGCTGTGAGAACGGAGGTGGTATCTTCGACTAAGCTGAACCAAAAGCTTAGAATAAAACAAGGGATTTCAGTTTTAGCTACCAAACTGGCCGTGAACACGAGGAGCGTAGGCAGCCTAACCATATGTTCATAAAAATACCAAGGCTGTAATTGTGAGGCATAGCAAAAGACGGAAAAGGCAGCAGGAATAGACAACAGTTTGACAAACGTAACACATGTTCTAACCACCTCAATTGTTGAAGTTTCAATATTTCATCCATTGATTTGTCATCCTTAACTAGTACCCGTTTAAAAACAACAGCATTGCTTACTCGATAGTCCCACGATACACGGGCAATGCTTTGGAAACACCTATGATCGAAAACCAGTAACCTACGAATGTCTTCTACTCTTACTGGCCATGTTTCTCAGACATAAGGCAGGACACAGCAAACTACTGCGCAGTACACTCGTCCTTTGGTTAGAAAACGTCTATCTCGCCAACGCTGCAGATGCTGGTTGTCCGAGGGAAACACCTTACTACTGTCACACCTCTCTACAGTCAGCAGTACGACTTCGCCCTCAGACCTTGAGTAGCTGCTTTAACTCTCATAGTTTCCTAATCGACCTGCCTGGCATGGTAGGAGTACAAATGCAAGAGAAGTGATTGCTAGTACATGGATACTAGGTACGGCCCAGAAAGTTTTTGAAATTTTAAGGACTATATATGATCAATTTGCCCTGGAGTGGCAATACGGATACTAGCAGTTTAGAGCTAAATATCAGATGTCACTATCATCTCTATAAAATCAAAGACAGAGACATAATGTATGTGACAAATGTATATGTATTTGTGTAGTGTACGTAAACTCGTCATTTACCCAAAGTGACCTCGCATATTTTCCTGTATGGATATGCATGGATCATGTATATGCTTCCCGACCAAGGCTGCTACCTTGACGTGGTGGTCGGGCTTGCCTATCGTGATCACCCAACCGAGCTATACTGGCTGGAACATATGTTCCTGATTGTTCTACCATGCCAGGCAGGTCGATTGGAGAACGATGACTTAAAGCAGCTACCCAAGGTCTGAGGGCGAAGTCGTACTGTTGACTGCAGAGGGGTGTGAATGCAGTAAGGTGTTTCCCTCGGACAACCAGCATCTGCAGCGATGCTGCCTTCTCACAAGGAAGGAAAGGTTAGAAAAGGTCGAGCCTAAAAATGTCACACCTCACCCTACCTCAAGGATTTCCGTCTCTGGCGGTAAGGGCTGCCCACTAAGGGCTTTTAAGAGCGGAGCTAATACTCAAAAAAAACCTTTCATAAAAGGCCGTGCACGACCGGCCCCAAGCAGTTGTCCCTTGGGCTCTGCGATCACGCTCCCAGGTCTCTAAAACCAACACTAATCTATCTTCCTTTTCAGGTCCCTCAAGAAACAACCTTCCACGGTGAGGGTAGCCGGGAAGTGACAACCGCCCTCATACCCGCAACAGCACACGAGACAAAATTGGTCAAAATCAAATCCTTCCAACACCCCCTAACATCTCTCTTATCTGCACGACTAAGTCTTCTCACACTGCACAGCTAATGCAAACGATGCGAGTTCGCGAAACGTCGTTCCTGGTCTCCTTAAACCCCGTTCTAAACTATATGTTGGAGCATTTAATGTACGGACATTGTGTCAAATATAGCGACAGGCATCATTAGCTAGGACTTTAGAATCTCATGACATCGATGTGTGCTGCGTTTCGAAAACGCGCATACAGGATCCGAGTAGCATCATTCACTTGACCTCACCATGTCAAGATAAAGAAGCAACTCGATTTATACTTCGTGTATCCGGTAGCCCTGATGCTGCTTCCCGGTGTCTCGCTGGTGTAGGTACAGCATTGAGTCGTAGGGCAGAACAATCTCTCCTAGACTGGATCCCTGTAGAGAGTCGCTTGTGCGCCGTCCGACTGAACGGGACAGTAAGCTGACAGCGAAGTCAGCTTAGGCACAGACTGATAAAAAGCCTACGTAATGACCGCGAACAGTGGTGGGTGGCGAAAGCAAAAGCGACGAAAAAGGCAGGGGCGATAGGCAACACCAGACAACTTTTCCGCCTTATTAAAGAAACTGGTATTAAGAACCCGAATGTGAGTGAGACTATCTCGGAAAAGGATGGTCTTATTATCCATTCTCAATCTAGGAGACTGGACCGATGGGCAGAACACTTTAGGGATCAGTTCAATTGGCCTCGAGCCACACTTCAGTTACCCACGATCTCCAGTCATCCTGAATGACAAATCGATTTAAGTCCTCCCAGTCTACATGAAGTTGAGAAAGCTATAGGAAATCTAAAGCGAAGTAGAGCAGCAGGTCCTGATAGGCTTACTCCTGAGATTAAGGATAGTGGTCCAGTTTTAACAGTTAGACTGACCGAGATCCTAGGTGGAATCTGGGAATTGGACGTAATCCCATCTGACTGTTCTCAGTCGCTAATTGTCCCAATCTACAAGAAAGGACAAAAGTCCTCCTGCGACAATCACAAGGGAATAAGTGTTACTAATATAGTTTCTAAATTGTTAGCCTCAATAATACTTCGACGCTTAACGAAAGCTCGTGAAGAGCAGACTCGAAAAAACCAGGCTGGTTTCAGACCTGGACGTGGATGTGTAGACCACATATTCACACTACGACAGGTCCTGGAACACAGACACACATTTGAAAGTCCGACAATACGCGAGTTCCTGGACCTAAAAGCGACATTTGACTCAGTGGATCGTGAGGTTCTGTGGCAGTGTCTGTCATTGAAAGGTGTACCAAAGAAGTACATTAACCTTATACAAGCTCTCTACTCGTTCACAACTGATCGAGTGAGAGCATATGGCGAACTGTCACCGGAATGCTCTACTTCAAGTGGTGTCCGTCAGGGATGTCCACTCTCTCCATTCTCGTTTAACTTTGTCGTAGACATCCTCTTAGAGTTAACATTAGGCTCGTCAGATTTTTCAGGGATTGACCTTCTACCAGGAAAGTCGCTTACTGATCTAGAATATGCTGATGACATAGTTCTATTCGGTGAAGACGCTGACAAAATGCAGAGTCTTCTGACTACCATAAGCAACAATACAAGCATGTTCTGGATGCGGTTCTCAACCGCGAAATGCAAAATGTTGCTTCAAGACTGGGTTGCATCGGCACCTGAACTAGTGATAGGGAGTGAAGTAGTCGAGCTTGTTGATCACTTCACTTATCTTGGGAGTCTCATCAGTGCTGATAGCCTAGTGACTGACGAAATCTCAGCACGGACACAGAAGGCTCGATTGCCTTTAGCCAACCTGCGTCACTTATGGCGTAGGCGTGATATCCGTTCGCTAACCGAAGGGCGGGTGTACTGTGCAGCAGTTCGCTCCGTTCTCCTATATGGATGCGAAACATGGCCGTTAAGAGTAGATGTTCGTAGGTTACTAGTTTTCGATCATCGATGTCTCCGAAGCATGCCTCGTATATCGTGGGACAACCGAGTAAGCAATGCTGTCCTTAGGAAACGAGTACTAGGTAAGTATGGCAAATCAATAGATGAAATTTTGAAACTTCATCAGTTAAGGAGGTTAGGACATGTGTTACGTATGGCTAACCACCGACTGCCTCGACGAGCCATGTTTTGTGGTGTAGGAGTAGGTTGGAAGAAAGCTAAGAGCGGCCGGACCAAAACATGGCAGAAATGCACAAGTCATTGACTAGTAGACTGAGTCATGTTGGTAGATGTAGACTACTTGGTTCGGGTCTGCGAGACGAAATTCACCAATGGTTAGAGACTTTGAATGACATGGCTCAAAATCGTTTGCAATGGCGCAAGTGCATCCATTCTTTGAGCTCTCTCAAATCCTAATCTTCTGGATTCGTCAGCACCTGTACCTTTGTCTTTCTAACCTTATCTCACTGAATTATACTTCTTGAATAATATCTTTGAATCCTAGTCTTCTTCATTACAATTAATACCTCTACTATCTTTATCGCTATGGGATCTGATTTGACATTTGCGTCTCTGTGCTAATGTGGTATGGCAACCTGAACTTATGTACATACGTACGAAGTTCTACGTTGCAACTACACTTTTCTAGGCCCCCCACTGCAAAAGGTTTCCACGTTCCTGATTGCCTCCCTCCTCTCTTTTATTAATCTTGTTGTTGTCCATTTCCGTTGTTGTGGCCAGGTCTTATTGTGCAATGGAAGTCGCAGTTGTGTGCCATACATGAGCGAAAAGGGTGATTTCTTGGTTGTACCTTGTACGGAGGAACGATGCGCCAACAAAATCAGAGGTAATTCTTTCTCCCAATCTCCTCCTTTAGATGCTAACCATTCCTTTAACATCCGGTTGTTTCTCTCTGTAAGCCCGTTTCTCTGAGGATGATACGGTGTAGTTCGTATCGCCTTGATGCCAAACTGTTTTAGACGGTCTTTAAACTCGTCACTTTCAAAACAGGGACCCTGGTCAGTTAATATCATTTTCGGTATTCCGTGGCACGCTACAATATGCCGGATCACCACTTCGGTCACTGTTCTTGCCCGCTGGTCTGCAATGGGTACGGCATCTATCCAGCGTGTAGCATGCCCCGTCATCACTAGCAGGTACCGGTTACAGGTCGCCGTCTGTGGAAACGGTCCCATTATATCCACCGACCATAGATCACCGACTGCGGTTACTGGGATCGACTGTAATGGCGGTTGTGTGTATCTATCGCTTTTCATTAGTTGACACTGTTGGCAAGTTAACACGTATTGAGCCATATCGTCTCTCATGCCCGGCTAGCATGCACTTTGTCGTAATGTTTCCGTCGTTCTTGCGATGCCTGTAAGTGCCACCTGATGACACTGGTGTATCATCTTACGCCGTCAGTCTTTCGGGATTACAGCCACCCAATTCTTGTCATCGTCCTGCCAGGTCAGGACTCCATATGTGTTCACCCTCAGTTGTTCCTTTTTCCGAAGTAACATTATTACCTCCTTGATGGTCGTTCGTTTGTCGACGTCTTCTCTTTCTTTTATCACTCTGATTACCTCTCGAAGGTTCGGGTCAGCTTTCTTTTGCCGGATGAGTTCTAATGGGTCTCCATCTAAACTATTCACCGCGTATGCTGTCAATGGAAGGTCATCTTCCATGTCTGATCTTGACAAGTAATCCGCCATTACGTTTTCTTTTCCTGGAACATGGCCGATACTGAAGTCGTATTCTTGCAGACGTATTATCCACCGCGCCAACTTCCCTCGGGGGTCTCTTGCTGTTCTCAACCACTGCAGGGGTTTATGATCAGTCTCAATGTGAAATCGTCTATCTGAAAGGTACGGTCTCCATTTTTCTACTGCCCACACGGTTGCTAGGCACCCCTTTTCGATCGTTGAATACTTCTGCTCGGCGGGTGTGAGAACGCGACTTGGGTATTCCACCACTCTATTAGCCTGACTCAATACCGCACCTATACCATGATCACTTGCATCTGTGGCCACTGTAAACAGTTTACCGGGTTCAGGCAGTCGCAGCGTCATCTGACGATCGTCTAGCATGTTTTTGATTCGGTTGAACGTTTGTTCGGCAGCCTCAGTCCATGTAAACTTGGTGTTGCTCAGCAACTTATATAAGGGCGCTGCTATTTCGTTGAAATTCTTGACAAACCGACTATAGAACGCCACTCTTCCCAGGAACTGTCTCAACTTCCTTTTCGAATTAGGTACTGCAATATTTTTTATGGTAAGAATTTTCTCTGGTAATAGCTTTATTTCTCCATTTCCCACTTTATGTCCCAACAATATGAAGCTGTTTTTCGCTATCTGCGACTTTTCCTTGTTAATTCGAAGCCCTAATTCGTCAATTAGCTTTAAGACCGCTTCCACATGCTTGACGTAATCTCTTTCCGTCAGGCTGTATACAACTACATCGTCGCCATATACCTCAACATTATCCAGATTCTTAAGCAGCAGCGTCATCAATCTTCTGAACGTGAACGGTGCACCAGCCAACCCGAACGGCATTCGTTTAAGTTGATACTGTTTATCCCGTATAGTAAATGCTGTCTTGTTGCGATCACTATCTTTTATTGGTAGTTGCCAATAACCTGACCGTAAATCCAGCACTGTAAACACCGTGGCATTTTGTAGCCGATCTAATTTTTCTACTACTGTTGGTATTGCGCACGGTTTCAGGTCTGTTATATTATTCAGTTCTCTAAAGTCGACGCAAAATCTATGCTTTCTGTTGGGTACCGGTGAGCTATACGGGCTGTCTGCTTCCTCAATTATACCTTCCTTCAACATTTCCTGAACCCGTCGATTTACCTCGGCCTCTAAATGCACCGGGACACGACGTGTTGCAGACATATTTACTCGGTCGTTCTTCATAGGGATTTCATGCTTTACTTCGTCACAAAATCCATACGGCTACCCATCTCCAGTGAACAGTTTCGCATACTTTGCGCATAACTCGTTAACGTTAGGTTTCTTGGTCGAGACGTCCGTTGTCACCCTTATTTCAGCCACTTCGCTACTTTCGTGTATTGGCAATGAACCGTAATTTGTGACCATTTTACCGCTTCTCAAGTCAACTATCGCTTTTACCTCTTTTAGGAAATCTGCTCCTAATATCGGTCTCGATAAGCTTGTGGTTACCACGAACGGAAAATTTATCTCAGCTCCACTCATTTTTACAATACTGTTAGACACCCCCAACACCTCTAGCATATGCCCTCCTATGGTGTGGACAGCTAATGTACATGGTTTAATTGTCTTACATTGCTCTTTGCTTATTAACGATATAGCTGCCCCTGTATCGATCAAACACAATAACTCTTGTTCATTTATGTACACTCTGGCATAAATTGCCCCTCTATCTACTAGTGCAAGAACCTCCCGATTCCTAGGGTGGAAAGAAAACACGTTATAATGTTTAAAATATCTTCGTCGTCGTCTTCTCGGACAGTTTATCTTCCAATGTCCTGCCTCTCCACAAGCGTAACATTTATCGTTCCTTTTATGATTTACTCGTAATGCTGCTACCTCACGCTCTAACTCCTCAATCTTCTTCTCGAAAGTATTTATCTCCTGCTTTTCGCACCCGACCGGAGCTACTGTTTGTGTCATCAGCTGACGAGTCACCTTCGCCAGTTCACCGATGTCCATAGGTTGTGCTGCATTTACTAATCTCAGCTGCTGGGACACGGCGGCAGGCACACTCTCAATAAATTGCGACGCCAACAAAAGTGCCTCTGACTCCTCATCGATATTCGGCAACGCACGGCGCAGCAACCTTGTGAGCTCCACAGCAAGCACCAGCGGGTCCCCATCAGCCGACAGCCTCGCCAACCGGAACTTCCGCAACGCTTCCTCCCTGTCCACCGGGCTGTCGAACTCGGCCATCAGCCGCTCAATGACCGTCTCCCATGGCGTCTTCCCGCCAGCACTGTCCAAGCTGTCATATACGGCCTTCGCCCTTCCTCTCAGCAGCGTCCCCAGCACCATCAACATCGCCTTCGGTTCCTTCACCCCCACCAGCTCCGCCACGGCCTCAAACTCCTTCGGGAAGCTCCGCACATCTCCGTCCTCAAACTGCTTCGGCCATGGAATCTTCATCCTTTGTGTAGGCAGCGACACCAAATGTAGTGAACGAGAACACAGGTGGGGCAACCGAATTGTATTTACCGAAAATTACAGAGTTACTCAGTAAAATCGGAAAACCATATCGTAAATTGTTCATTTGCAAAATATCAGTTCATCATATCGAACTGGACTGTTTGTTCCTGTTGCCAAACATCAATCGATTGTCACTATTCATGCGTTTCATACAAATTCAATTGTTTTCTAACTCTTCCTTTCTTGATCTTCCCCCATCTTCTGCTGCCAGACATTACGTTGACGCTCACGTCATATACTACTTATAAGTAGCTCGCACCACAGATATAGTATATATAATCTCCAGTCACTCATTAAACAATCATTTATCCAGAAAATAACACTTTTCGGAATTTAAGAGTCACATCATTTCAGCACATATTAGTTACGAAATTTTTAATGAACTATTGCGATGGTATCGTGTTGACGTAGTTATGAACAAAAATGAATACCTTATTTTTAACTAATACAGTCATACACATATCAAATGAAGAGTTCGAAGAAATATGAGAGATATTACTGACCTTATCATTATGGTATAGTTACTACGCAAGCCCTCAACTTTTGATCCTCTTCTGTGAGGACGTAACAAGAAATGAATTGTTTCATTTCTGCTTGGTACTTCAGAAACATTAGAAATGGAATCACCTGTAATAAATAAAATAGATGTGTGTAATTTAAAATTTAACTAATCACAATGGAAATCACCAGATGAACGATTTTGAAAAGTTCTTATAGAACAGATGTACTACAGAACTCGTCAGCCGGCTATAAATGCATCCCAGTATTACCGTTCACAATGGAACTCTAGCCAAGTACCTTACACCCAGTGAATAATACTCTGAGGTTTAGAATGAAAAGCTTTGGGTTTGAGTCCCAGTTTGGAGATAAACACTGCAATGTAGGTGAGTCCCCAATATGACGAAACGTGTGTCTTGGATTTTACTACTAGTTACAATTCACCTATTCTATTGTTTATTTTTCATCTGAAAACAGTCACCGCTTAGATGACTTCAATGAGGAGTTTGGCTATTTTCAAAGTCATAAACTGTGAGTATACTTATTCAAACTTTGAGAAAGAAACCTCCTATGCAATATTTGTTTTCTATTCGTCTATCTAATTTGTTTATTCAGTCGTTGGTGTGGAGCATTGTAGCTGCACCGAATTGTAGATTATAACACACGTTATATTACTCATAGCAAAGATTCAAATACAGGGTCTAAACCTGGAAAACAATAAAAATAAAAAACAACGTATTGGAGTTAAGCTCACTTGAAAGAGTCTGTTGGTCAGACTCAGAAGTTTGCTTGTCAGGGCTACTCTTTATTACATGTACTGTATCCAATGGTTTATTCAGGCCGTTGAGATCATTATTAAATGAAGCCAAATCGACTGGATTAAATAGTTTCGCTTGTTCATGAGTGGATAATGGAAAAGATTCAAATAAACTTAGAATAGCGCCAATATGTTTTTCGAATAAATTCGAACGAAAATCACACAAGTGCCACTTCAAAGGAAATGCAGAAAAACGAAATTACTTAATGGATTTTGTATTTTTGAAGTTTAATCGAAATGCCAGATGGATAGATTTTCGAAAAAGTGCATTGTAATAATTTACGAAATATTGTAAATATAAAATGTCTTTGGGCAATACTAGCGAAATTCAAAACATATGCTCGTCATCTGTCAATCACAAATGCAGTTTTAAGCGCGTTATTTCGATAATCCAGTAGCGTCTTCGTCCAGTTTGGCTGGCATCGATGTCCCACTGAGTGTCAGCTCCAATTGGCTGGATCCCGATTATATGCTGTTAGTTTAGCACGCTTCATCAAAGTGAAACGATATATTTTTGCTGACTCTGCATATAGACCCAGTAGAGTACAGCCCGGATGCAATCGTGGATGAGTCCAACTATCAGCCAAGTAATCTCCAAAAAGCAGATTCGACAGATACATCAGTACTAGTCAGAGATTTGAATATAAAGGTCAGGTAGTCAATCGGAAATCATCAGTTATGGGTTAGATAATGACGACTACAATCAGGTTTTAATTAGCACTAACTGTGGGTACAATCATTTCCAATGTGTTATATGACGCCCTCCATCTACACTTTGGATCGATCACAACACGACCAGCTACTACTGACGTCGTTGTGTAAGGAAAACTCCAACTCTTTTTGGGGTATTTATCTGGACTGCGATTATGTCTTTGGTTGCGCTAACCTTATCTTACATTTTAGCGTTCAAATTCATCATACCAGACAGACTTTCAGTAAATTGGCCGTAGCATCTGTTACAAATGAATATCAAACCGAGCTAGGTTCAAAGGTAGTTATAGTATAATAAATGAGCACTAACTGTACATTCATGATACCATGAAACTGGAAAATGCAGTCGTTTGCAGCTTCATTAAACATCCTGCTCGAAAGTAACGGGTTTCTACATGCTACTTACAACTCGTTGAGGCACGTCGGTCTATTCCGGGTAACCGCGTGTTTGATAATAAACGAAGATTGTTGCGCAATGGAATTGTGCAAACGTTGAGTAAGGACCAAGAAGCCTGGTGGTTGGGGCGTGCTAATGAGTTGGAAGCAACAGTTGCATCTGGCTACTGCCAATAGCTCTTTCAATTCTGATGTCAGTGAAACAATCTATGACGTTAATGAGACGCCAATCAATAACGTTTACCGATGTCTTGGACAATCGGTCAAGTTCTTCAAGGGACAGTTCAGCCGGTCTTCCTCCCAGATGCCATCAATTTGACTATTCTGTCCTTTCTACTCAGTATCGACTGATCCAACTAACGAGGCGGAAGTTCACAAGGAACTCTAACTCCTGAGGCGTTACAGGTCAACAAAACCAGATAACTTTCAGTTCTTTTCACGGAAGGTGGTGAACTTCCAGTCAGGCAGCATTGAAAGGTTTTTGAAAGCGTGGCAGCATTCTGGAGAGAAGTGACTTTCGTCTCCGTCCATTTTACGCTTGTGAAACCTGACCGTTCTAAGCTGAGAATGTTTGGCGATCCTTCATGTTCAACTACTACTTCCTATAAAGGATTTCTGACATTCATTATGTTAGCGATGCAGAGGCTCGCCAATAAATGCTCGGGTTCGGTGACGATAATTAGGTTAGTTTCACTAAACCGGCTTCGGTGGCCTGTGTATGTACTACGAATGTCATCCCAACAACTTCCAAATAGTGCGTTATTTGCTAACGCTGAGACTGGTTGGAAAAGGCAGACTGATGGTCAGTGTGTATCATGGCTCCAGTGTATGACACAAAGCTGTTTAGAACTGGCATCAGTCGATCTACTAAAACTCTCATTTAATTAATTATGATTATGTTCACTCTTCTCCATATATGTTTTAAAGTCTCATTCATCTATCTGTGTAGCGCATATTTATTTTGGTGTCAATTACTATCCAAATAAATAAATCTCCTAACGCGAGATGTTTACGGGTGTAGAAACACGTTGGAAGAGAGCTAGGGGCCGAACAAACCAACACATGGTAGTAGTTCATTCAGTCTTTAACAACTGAACTGAACCATGTAAATCGGTGTAGATTATCTGGCTAGGGTTTGCATGATTACTGTAACCAGCGGCTAGAAAATTCGGGTGACATTAATCAGAATCCGTTGCAACAGTGATGTATTCACTTCTTCTTTTCAGTTAGAATACTTTACAAACTTTCGACTTTGTGTTATAATCAAGACACAGTTCGTTAGACTTTCATATCACACATCGAAACTGCTTTGAAGACTATTACTATGAATGGATACCAGTACATTAGGTATGCTCCATAGGTTGTAATATTGTGTTATACTCACCATTTTCCTAATTCTGTAATCCCTAATCAACCGGAATGCTTCATAGAGTAATGATCGTCCATTGGTAAGCATTTCTACACATGATATAGCTTCAACCTCATCAGCATATCTCCATGCATTTTCCGTCCTTGTCAGTAAAGGTTTTTCACTAGTCGAACCTTCAGTATAAGACGTTTTTAATGAAGTAGAATCATCCAATCTAATATTATTTAATTCTGTAGGATCTATTAAGGCTGCATTACGAAGTGCTGAGTAAACCTGTTCAAGGATATCATCTGCAATGCCAGAAACTGTGACGAAACACCGCATTAACCATAAAACAAATGTAAATCGATCAGAAAATAGTCTGTGCGCAGATTTAACATGTTCACTGGCAAGAAAAAGTTTAGTTCCAACAGGTCTGTGATTTAAAAGAAAATAGAAATTTAAAATATAAAATATTGACAAAGATAAATTGATTGACGAGGGCAGAAACCAATCAAATAAACTACTTTTCAGACCTGGAAATGTGTCAAAACGTCGAGATTTAAAATATGTATATATCTTTGTAAATTAGAGTCAGTGATAGGATGGGATTTATCAAATGACAAAATAAAACAAAAACGAAGTTACTACGATTGGACTTATTTATTTCGGATAGTGAAATAATTAGAGATACCACATAAATATCGAAAACGTGTCAACGTGTGAACTGAATGAAGTGAACATACTTAGTTATAATCAGTGTATTGAAATGTAATGAAGCGCGGTCATAGTTCAACTTGACATAAAATAGTGCATTCTCAGAAGTGTTATATGCATGTAGGTAGCTTTCTATGTAGTAAACAGTAGGATACAACATAGCTGAACCATAATTAATGTTTTTCCTTATTGAGTTTGAGTCTCAACCTAAACATGAACACTAGGAGAGAGGCATATGCAGCTGATAAGTCATGGATGAGACGAAACGCATGCTTCAGAATTAACTATTAGCTACTGTCCAACTTTAACAAATAAAAATCATATTACCATTTAAAAATTGGGGAATTATATGACTAATATAGGAAATTGTAAAAATGATGATCAATATTATGCTACCACTAAGAGATTCAAAATGGAAGTTGAAATGACAGGTTTAAACTGCGTTTATTTCGGCTCGTGGCAATCAGAACGATAAGAGAAACCCTGAGTTTTTTGCTACAATGACTGATGATGAAAGTGTGAAACTGATAAGACGAGACAACAATCAATCCTGCTACCGATTAATTCCACTGCAGAATGAATGACATATACTTCACATCTCTTTCAATCCTATATTTGTCAAATGACTTACAAGTCATGCATAATCTTGGATTAAGTATTTTGTATAAAACCATTGTATTTTGTCTGAATACAAAGCTTATTCTTCTGAAGAACAATCCTGTCTATAGTTCGAATCAATAATTCAGTCACGTGAATAGCCATCGCTCAGCCACATGCTATCATCAAATTTTGCTATTGGTCAGCATTCTATTTATTCATTTGACAATTAGAAACCTTGCTTGAATAATCAAACTTCTCTATCATAATAGGAATGTATGAATATGTCTTAGGTAAATTAAATTCGAGGTGTTGTTGAAAATCAGACGCCCAGAATTCGAGTCTCGTAGTGTATATTTAAATGACTATTTCTAACAATCTGTTTACTTTAGTTGGATCTAGTCTCATTTTCAAGGAATACTGCGCTTTTATAACACATGAAGTCAATTGTTGAAGACTGTAATTGATAATGACTGGAAATCGATTGGACTGTTGCCTATCACATATTCATAAAATCTTTATATTATTTTAAAGCGGTGAAAAACACATTAGAATTACAATATATTCAGTGATGATTTAATAAATAGAAAAAAGAATGAATTAGTGTATCGATTCCTTTTTTACCGTAAATCATCTTCAAATGTTGGTTGGGTTATTTGTACAGAAATGTTATCATTATCACTGCTATTGTCAGATGATTTCGATGAAGAGCAGGAACCAGAAGTAGAAGAAAACTGTGAACAAGATGAAGATTCCGAAGAAGTTGAATATGTATCCCACTTTTCATTTTTTTCATCATCTGAATCGCTAATATCTGAGTCGAATGAATCTTCATCATCTGTAGAATCATCATCCTAGTAAGAAAATAGATTTGAACATTACAAAGAAAGAGTTTGAGATGGTATTTATTTGTTTCTCAAGAGGATGATATTGTTGAAATTCAATTGGTTGCACTGTTGAAAGACATCTCTAAAGATAGTGGTTGAGTTCTAGCGACTAAAGTGACTGAGATCCGAACAATCTCAGAGGAATCAGTTTGGCTAATATGGCATTCCAATAATATTTCAATGTCTAACTAAAGCTTGTGAAGAGCGAACCTGAAAAGACCTGGTTGGTTTCAGACATACATGCGGATGTATAGACTAAAAACACTTTATAGCCTGTTCAAAATTCTAATAACTTCGATTTTACAACCTCGAAATAAGCTTTACAATAATCCATTATTCCTGAGACAGATGGATAAGATGGTGAATGACAACAACAATGTACAATATAAATGATCTGGTTAATCTAGTTGATAAGAAAAATAGTTCAAACGTTGTGCAGTCATTTCAGTGAAAACAAGCGAAGTGAAATTTCATGTAATAACAACAACAGATTCTCGCTGAATCAATCGTTTATCACATCTACCACTTCATAAAAAGAAAAACGTAATAAATTTTTAAAACTGGATCACAGGAGAAACATTACCATTAATTTAGGCACAGGCACTAGATTTAACTGAAGCATTTCACGTTAGAAAGAAAATATTAATAGTCATTTCGATAACTACATTTGTGTGAAAATAATCCGTTCTAATAAATAAATAATTATACCAGAGATTAAGATTGATCAACTATATTGTGAAATTAGCTTTAAGAACTCAAAACTAAACAAACTTACAGCCTCAATTGCTTGTAGACAATCAGTACGATAAACTTCACTTGAAGTCCCATCAATCCAACGAATTACTAGTTTACCTGATTCCGGAATAATATCTTCTAAAATACCAGCAGGATAAGTTGAATAGTCAGTTTCACTGGCAGACTTGATGAGAATAGTATCACCATAATTCATTTGATATTCTCCAGATCCAGAGATTTCATAGACACCAATTTCTTCCGGAGAACCAATAGGAATCATTGGCCTTTAATTCAATGTAGTCACACAAATTCGTACTTAGATAGTCAGCAATGGAAAGTTAATTTATATAAATGGGAATAGTAGTAGAGTTGAAATTAATTGGCCTTTTAAAAGGGCACCATCTTCCATTGGAAGGATAAAATACGATAGAGAACAATCAAATTAATCATGGACATAGGGTCAATTGACTATCAAAATTTTTTAAGTAGTATTTCAATGTTACTGTTGGACTTAGTTGAACTTATAATTAGAAATAATTATTTAATTTATGCAAAATCAACAGACAGATCTTTGCTTAGAACATCAACGTAAACATTTGTCAATTATGTTCAGTCTAGGTGAATAACTAAGAGACACTACTTTACAGAAAATCATTAAACATATTGTGTTATACCGAAATATACCTGAGGCCATGGTATTTTTATATTGCTCATAATTTTAAGCTTTCATTTCGTTGATTAACTGATGTTGTATGCTCTACTGTTCCTACATTATGCACTTAATATCCTGTTTTGTATCACATATTTCCTAGTTATGTACTAACTATGATTTCTTACTTGTGGTACGTTGTGATCATGTAACTGATGCTTATAAGCCTTCGGAGTTTTTAATTATGATGAGAAATAAGGACAATAAAGTAATTTAATATGGATCTGCTTACAATCTTCGTTCTTGATTGAGTACTGGGGATAGGAGGAACTAATCAACCGATAAGAATCAGAGTTTTCTGATCAGTGTTTATAGTCCGATAGGCATATAGTAAACTAGTCGTAGACGAAATCTATTATCAACAGACCGATCAAGTTTCGATTCATAAGATACTAATTATGAAAATATAAGACGATCGAAGGGCAATAAATGTATGTAGATGTGAGAACGAAACATTAAATAGGGATTTATAAGTTCCATTTCAAAATTGTTAGGATAATCACGTTGTTGATAATTTGGACTGAAATTTGATCAGTCATGGTTGATATATGTAGACACTGTGTGCATGGTTGCGAAATTGTTCCTCAATTATAGGCATTTTTAAGCAGAGATAGATGGCGGTTAATAGTTAGATCAAGGACGCGCGTTTCGTTCTGCTATGGACTTGTCAGGTGGAAATGCCTTAAAATTCCAGAGTTGATGTTCACTCCGGGACTCGAACCCGGCAGCATCCGCTTCAAATGCCATCGCTTCACCTAGCTACTGAGTCCAGATAGCCAGTCACTTGTACCAATCGAGAATGATCAAGTTTCAGTCAAAGTATCAACAACAGAGTAATCCAAATCATTTCAAATTGAATTAAAACTATAATCATTGCAAACTAACTAACTAGGCAAGTGGATAACTGTGTTTGAGGCGGACGATTCTGAGCTTGAGTTCTGGAATAAACATTAACTCTGGAGTTTGCAGGCACATCCAGCTAAAGAGGCCTGAATAGGCTAAAACGCGTGTCCGCGTTTCAAATGATAACCACGTTCCATCTACTCTAGAGATTCGTAAACATTTGACTCCACTTTAATTGAATAGTTTAATTATATTTACCGAAATTCCATGAACAGACTTACATGGAACCAGTTTTGGAGTTCCCTGTTTTGAACCACTGAACAAGACAAGTTCGATCCTTCGTATTGTAAGCAAGAGCTACACCAAGATCCCTAGGGTGGTCACAAGACAATTCGATTGTAGAAGATGGAGAAATGTCTAGTTTCTCACTTGTTTCTGTCACTATCGGTGAAGATGGATCGTTCATGGCTGAATTCAGTGGGATAGGTTGTGAACGACAATTTTTATCTTGAAAAAAGATATAGGAAAAAACAAAATGATAAACAGAAGTAAACAGACACCACGACAATAAAAATGACAAATTTAAAATTAGGTACACACCTTACAGCTAATGGAATACCTTATGCTTCTGATGAACGGGACAGGTAAATCAAACTATTGATAATCTTGCAACAGAATATGTTTCTAGTCGACGCACACTTTTATGTGAAGCAGTACCTTGATGGTCAAGATATACGACTTTTAACTGAAAGTTACAAATTTTGAGTAGCAGTAAACTGACTTCGGCCAGAGCAACAGGTAGTCATCATTAGATAGCCGAAACACTAGGGATACATAAACTTAAGTGCTTAAGAGATATATAGGAAACTCTTAGGCTCAGACTAAATTAATTAAGCCTGCTACCCCTTGTGTGGTACAGATCACCGATTAGGAATCTCCAGCAAACTCTGTCCTGAGATGTACTTTCCACTTGTTGCTAAGCCCTGTTTATTCTCTTGATCTATGTCTCCGATTCCCTGAGCAATATGTTCTTTGATCCTCTTCTTTTCTCTTTGAGGGCTCCAAAACTGGGCTTGTGTCGTGAAGCGACCTGATAAATACTGTAAAGTGTGATCTATCCTCCTTCAGCGTCGTTTAATAGTTTATTCTAAGGTAGAAGCTGGATTCTTTGCTGTCACAATAGGTTACTGCTGATGGAATTCGAGCAACGGATCCGAAACATCTTGCCTAAACAACAGTTTCAGTCAGTCAGTTGCAACGTAGAACTTCGTACGTATGTACATGAGTTCATGTTGCCATACCACATTATTAGCACAGAGATGCAAATGTCAAATCAAATCCGACTTTCCTGGTAGAAGGTCAATCCCTGAAAAATCTGACGAGCTTAATGTTAACTCTAAGAGGATGTCTATGACAAAGTTGAACAAGAATGGAGAGAGTGGACATCCCTGACGGACACCACTTGATGTAGAGAATTCAGATGACAGTTCGCCATATGCTCTCACCCGATCAGTGGTGTTCGAGTAGAGTGCTTGTATAAGGTTAATGTACTTCTTTGGTACACCTTTCAATGACAGACACTGCCACAGAACCTCACGATCCACTGAGTCGAATGCCGCCTTAAGGTCCAGGAACACGACTATTGTCGAACGTCTAAATGTGTGTCTGTGTTCCAGGACCTGTCGTAGTGTGAAGATGTGGTCTATACAACCACGTCCAGGTCGAAAACCAGCCTGGTTTTCTCGAGTCTGCTCTACGCGAGCTCTAGTTAGACGTCTAAGTATAATGGAGGCTAACAATTTAGCAACTATATTAGTTACACTTATTCCCCTGTGATTGTCACAAGAGGACTTCTGTCCTTTCTTGTAGATTGGGACAATTAGCGACTGAGACCAGTCAGATGGGATTACGTCCATTTCCCAGATTCTACCTAGGATCTCGGTCAGTCTAACCGTTAAAACTGGACCACCATCCTTAAACATCTCAGGGGTAAGCCTATCGGGATCTGCCGCTCTACCTCTCCTTAGATTTCCTATAGCTTTCTCAACTTCATGTAAACTGGGAGGACTTAAATCGATTTGCCATTCAGGATGACTGGAGATCGTGGGCAACCGAAGAGTGGCTGAAGGCCAGTTGAACTGATCCCTAAAGTGTTCTGCCCATCGGTCCAGCCTCCTAGATTGAGAATGGATAATAAGACCATCCTTTTCCGAGATAGTCTCACTTACATTCGGGTTCCTAATACCGGCTTCTTTGATAAGGCGGAAAAGTTGTCTAGTGTTGCCTATCGCCGCTGCCTTTTCCATCGCTTTTGCTTTCGCCACCCACCACTGTTCACGGTCGTTACGTAGGCTTTTTATAAGTCTGCACCTAAGCTGACTACGCTCTTCATCATGTTCAGAGTCAGGTGGGATGCGTTTTCGAGCATCCATCAGTTCGGTGGATGCGACTGAAATTCACTGCTTCATCCAAGCATTGTGGTTTACCTTGCTAGCAGATACCATTGCTGTTTCCACAGCCTTCTTGATATGATTCCAACCTGCTTCAGGATGGGAATCACTTGCATGGCCGCCTAACTGTTTTTCTAGTTCTTCCTGAAATATTTTCTTAGCTTGATTATCATCAAGCAAAGCCCTAAGAGGCTTCCTTACGGTGTCTTTCCTACGTCCAGCAAGCCTTAAACAAATACGTGCTCGCACTAGGGCATGATCTGAATCTAAACATGTGCCCCAGAACGAGCGACAGTCTTTTATCGAACCCCTCCATCGGTGGCTGATGGCGATGTGATCTAGTTGTGTCCAACGTTGAGACGACTTCGGGGGTCGCCAGGTCAAAAGGTGTTTTTCCTTATGCTTAAAATTAGTGTTTGCTAGAAATAGTTGGTTATCTGAGCACAGTTGCAACAGACGGTCGCCATTGTCTGTTCTTTGAGCCGCGAGACCGTAACATCCACCTAGGTGTCTTTCATTTTCACTCAGTCTACCTACTTGTGCATTGAAGTCACCAGCCATTATAACTATATCAGAGCGCTTAGCTTTTTGGAGGAGGTCCGAAAGCTTTCTGTAAAACTCATCTTTTACATCATCTGGGCTGCAGTCAGTGGGGGCGTAGGCTGATATGACGAAGAGGCAACGGCGAGTGTCCCTATCTTTCCGAGTCCTTACTGTCCCGTTCAGTCGGACGGCGCACAAGCGACTATCTACAGGGATCCAGTCAAGGAGAGATTGTTCTGCCCTACGACTCAATGCTATACCTACACCGGCGAGGCCCCTAGAAGCAGCATCAGGGCTACCGGATACACGAAGGGTAAATCGAGCTGCTTCTTTATCTTGACATGGTGAGGTCAAATTAGTGATGCTATTCGGATCCTGTATGCGCGTTTCCGAGACGCAGCACACATCGATGTCATGAGATTCTAAAGTCCTAGCTAATGATGCCTGTTGCCCTATTTGACACAATGTCCGTACATTGAATGCTCCAACATGTAGTTTGGAACGGGGTTTAAGGAGACCAGGAACGACGTTTCGCAAACTCGCATCGTTTGCATTAGCTGTGCACTGTAATAAATGAATGTGAGAAGAGTTAGTTGTGGAGGTAAGAGAGGTATTAGGGAATGTGGGAAGGATTTGATTTTGAACAATTTTGTCTCGTGTGCTGTTGCGGGTATGAGGGCGGTTATCACTTCCCGGCTGCCCACACCGTGGAAGGAAACAACAGTTTAAAGGTACTTGTACCTTTTTGATGATCGCGATAGTTCTCCGAATTTTAACTCTGTAAAATAGAAATGTCTTGACATTTATATTGAAAATTCTGTCCTAAAATAATGGCTAAAAGTTGTTTTTGGATCTAGATAATACTCCATTGTAAAAACAGTGCCCTTGCTTTACTGATCCGTGCCTTCATATCTGAGTCCGATTCCCGTTGTTTATCAATGCTACCACCCAAGTACTGAAAGGTTTCCACCTCTTCCAGATATATTCCACCAAGTGTAATTTGGTTGGTGCTCTCTGTCTTGCATATCAGGATCCTGCTTTTTCTATTGTAAACAACCAGAACAAAGAGAAATGGCGAAAGTAAGCCGCCTTATCTGACACCGATTTTCACTTGGAATGAATCTGTGAGCCATCCTCCTTGCATGATTTTGCACTGAATCTATCATAAGAATCCCGCAAGATGTTGATAATATAATATAGTATAATATAGTATCGAAGAAGGTTTATAAAGGTTCTCCTGCCTATGTTATCAATTACTTTTTCTTAGTCGAGGCAGTTCATGTATACTGACGAGTCGTATTCAACTGTTTGTTCAGCAATGATCCAGTGTAACGGTTTGGTCAGTACATAGTCAATCTTTACGGAGGCCAGCCTGTTGGTCTTGAAGTTGAGCTTCTACTAAATTTTCGACTCGGTCCAATAAATATTCCTTTCTTTAGAGTGGCGTTTCTCTCGGCTCCAACTGCTCTCCACAATGGTTTCCTCTTCTCTCAGTAGATCATGTAAGACGTGAACCTTACTGCTGAGAGCTATATCGGATACGTCGAGCTTGTTAGCATCTGGAATACTCTTTGTCCAACCCTTGTTTAAACGGGACATTACCAGATGGTGATCTGAAGTTATATTAGCTTCTATTTTTTATCTCATGTTCTTTACAAAACTTTTGAATTTTTTATCAGTGTAGATGTGATCGATCTGGTCATCTGTTATGTGGTCAGGTGAAACCCATTTAGCAATGTGTATCCGTATGTGAAGTGAATGGGTCCGACCTATAACCACGTCTATAAGAGCACATAGATATTTGTCAGTCTCTCGCCAACTTCGTCCCTTTCTTCTGTACTATGTCATTCTCAGAATATCTTCATACCCAGTGTTATTCATCCTCACATTGAGGATCAGGTCCTCCAACAGGATTGTCGAGAGTTCTCTCTCAAATCTTCGGATAAACTGAGATCACAGACGGGAATCTTGGTCAGAAGAAAACAGTCTTTTAGCAGAGAAAATACTATGGTCGAACCCAAGAATAAGCATGACTGAAAGCTATCTAACAAATAAACGATTGGAGATAGGGTAAATAGGTTAGTCTTTATTCAATGGAATTAATCAGTCAGTCAGTCAGATGCAACGTAGAACTTGGTACGTAAGTACATCAGTTCATGTTGCCATACCACATCAGCACAGAGAAGTAATTGTCAATTCAAATCCAATAGTAGAAGAGGTAGTAAGGGAATTAGAAGTAATCGGAGAGGTTAGGGTTAGAAGATACTATTCAAGAAGTATGATTCAGCGAGAGAAGTTTAGAGAGTCGAAACTAGAGGTGCTGAAAATCCAGAAGATTAGGATTTGAGAGAACACAAAGAATAAATGCACCGGCGCCATTGCGAACGATTTTGAGCCATGTCATTCAAGGTTTCTAACCATCGATTATTATCATCTCGCGGACCCCAACCAGGTAGTCGACAATTACCGACATGGCTCAGTCCACTAGTCAATGACTTCATGGATTTCTGCCATGTTTTGGCCTGGCCGCCCCTAACTTTCTTCCAACCTACTCCTACACTACAATACAAAGTTCGACGAGGCAGACGGTGGTTAGGCATACGCAACACCTGTCCCAACCACCTCAATTGATGAAGTTTCACCACTTCATCGATTGATCTGCCATCCTTACCTAGTACTCGTTTCCTAACGACAGCATTTCTTACTCGGTTGTCCCACGGTATACGAGCAATGCTTCGAAGACACCTATGATCGAAAACCAGTAACCTACGAATATCTTCTACTCTCACTGGCCATGTTTCACAGCCATATAGGAGAACGGAGCGAACTGCTGCACAGTACACCCGTCCTTCGGTTAGCGAACGGATATCACGCCTACGCCATAAGTGATGCAGGTTGGCAAAAGCCAATCGAGCCTTCTGTATGCGAGCTGAGATTTCGTCAGTCACCAGGCCATCGGCACTGGAATTAATGCCTCAATTCGATGAAACAGAAAGACATGGGATGGATCTTATGGTATCGCGGCTCATCGAACAAATAATGGCGACCATACGCTGCAGCTTTTCTCAGATAACCACCTGTTTCTGGCAAATACTAACAATAAACATAAGGGAAAATATCTTTTGACATAGCGACCCCCAAATCAGATCAAAAACTTCAAACTATTAGACTGATATTTCATAAAACATCTATCTTTTAACTCTTTCTCTTTAATCTCGTGATGTTTACCAGTCAACAACTAACAAGTGGATATTGGTAATTAAAAAAGTAGCCTTGTCGATACAAAAAACAACATCAGAGTTTAGTGAACCATATACAAAATTATTAACATAAAAACTGAAAATAATAGCCAAATTATTCTCACCACTTTTTAAAGAAACCAAAAATCCAGGAAATAAATAATGTTCTATGTGTCCACCAAATGATAAAATCTTATCAGAAGTAACACCTTTCGACACAGATCCATCAATCCATTTTATATCATACACTGATTTGGTTGCATATATTCGTACAGGTACCCAATCACCAGTTCTTAAATGAATCGCGCGTTCCTCTTGAATATATTCTGCTTGTCGACGAATACCACAAAGGCGCTTTGAATGTTTTGATAATTTTGTTTTTTTACAGTTGCGTTCCTTTTTTTCTTCTAAATAATCGTCATCATTGTGATTACCATTAATATCATTATCATTATGATCATCATCAACAGTAGTTATTTGACTTGATGGTAAACTCATATTTGTTGTGGATTTGTTCACTGAATCATCGAATGAAATATCGACCAGAGATAGAATAGGATTTTTATTTGTAGTATTATTGTTAGCATCAGTCACTACAGTTGTAGAAGTAGTAGTAATAGTAGTAGTACTAGTAGCAGTAGTAGCAGCAGCAGTAGTAGTAGTAGTTGTAGTAGTAGTTGTAGTAGCAGTTGTTGTTGTTGTTGTTGTGGGTGTAGCAGCAGCAGCACCAGTAGTACTGGAAGTTACAGTTACTGTCATCAGTGGTGGTGGTGATGATGATGCTGAGTCTACACCTGATTTTACTGTAGTTGGTAAAGATTTCAAAGACAAATCAATTTTTGTGATGTTTTCCACATGACTTAAAACTGACTTATTAACAAGCTTTGAATTATCACAAGAAATACGTTTACAAGTTAAATTTACCACTTGATGATTGTTCTCTTTGATATGTTCAATTTGTTGGTCCTTTTGGTCTTGTGTTTGTGATTGATGCTTTGTGCGTCTTAGTGTATCGTTTTTATCATTGTCAGTACCATCATCATGATCAGAGATATCAGCACTAATATCAATGTACGGTGTAAAAGATGGTGTTGATCTGTGAAATCTGTTAGCCCAAAGAAATATATCTGTACGAAGAATACGATGTCGTGGACCTATAGTTACTCGCCTACGACGACGTCGTGAAGCAAATAGATTTACTTGCGCCTATAGCAAATATAAATAGACAAATAAGACTTGACAAGAGTAAAGTCGACAGGAAGGAAGATAGGCATTATAAATTAAGCAGTATGTTTTCGACAAAACTGATGATCATATAATGAATGGTGTAAATGGAGGTGGACGTTAACGCTACTATTTGCCTTTATTGATCAACAGCTGTTCTAGTGTAATTAACTGTAGTTTATCTTGCCTATTCAAGTCATTAGAATTCGGATGTGTATCCAGGGCTCTGGCTGTTAGTCTTTCTAAGTAGGTAACAATATCATTTAGAAGATTTTCATCAAGACAATGTTATGTTCTATTTCCAAAGAACATAGTTCTATTGCTGATCTATTCTGAAGATTCTTGAGGTCTGTTCAGAATTTAGGAAATATGCTTCAAGCAGTGTGTTTCTTCACTCTTACACGATAATCGCATCTTACTCTGTCCAAACTGCCGTCATAAGTAAATAAATACTTGACATATAGAAAGCTGATATACTTCCTTGCCTCTTACTCTATATTCAACAACGATAGAGTGACGTGAATTGAGACTTCCAATCTAATAATTAAATATCAAGTGTTAAGAGAATCCGATACTCCTGGGACATAATACTCGCTCTAAACTGAAAAAGGATTAAAAATATCTATACTTCATATAAATAGGGGGATTGAACGTTCTTTAAAAATGAAATATTTCAATCAAGAAAAACCAACCCAGAACGGTGTTGTCTTGCTTGACATTTTTTCTTCCGTCAATGATTCTGAACTCTTCGATTCTGTGACTGGTGAAGACTCGGGAATTAGATTTTTTATTTTGCTTTTACTAGCGATACAATTTTCATTCAAACTGTCTTGATCTGTCTTTTGTTTGTCATCATGCAATGGAGGTGGGAGTGAAGATCCTACTCCAAGACCAGAAATATCATTTGTGAACCATTTATATAATAATTGCTCAGGTCGAGTAAAATTTCTCCTTTAAATTATTTTTTGATTGTACATAAAACAAATTAACACACATATATTATGTATCACATACACAAGATGGTAAATTTCACAACAATTTATTTATGACAACAAGTTAAGCAAATATATATAGTTTCTTTTTGGTAAGATGGTACGTCCAAAGGTTAGGGGAATAATTCAACTGAAAAACGTAGCTTAAAGCCAAGTAAAGTGATATCTGTATGGTTATCAAGTTGTATTGGGAAGTATTATTTAAGAATACACCGTTTTAAATCTCTACAAACAATTTAGACTGATAAACTTGTTGTGGATAATAATAATAATAATAATAATAATAATAATATGGTGATTTGGTGAATAAGATCAGTAAAATGAATAAATAGAGTACAGACTGATAGTTCATGTGGTAATGTGACCGGGTGATAAATGTTCATATTACCGAACTAAGCAAACTTCTTGTATTACGTGAACAAAATGATATTTAAAAACAAGAGAGCTGCTAGTTGACCAAGTTTATGGCCAAAGTAAACACGATAGGATGACGTAAGCGAATGGAGAATTTGAGATTTGTATCCCACCAAGTTATGAATGAATCATAACCTGATTCGTTGACCTTACCTTAACCAACATGACAAGGAGTGTAGACAGGTTGGGCGCAAGATGATCATAAGCTTACACAATGATCGTGGACAGTGGTGGGTAGCAAAAGCAAGAGACATGGAAAAGGCAGCAGCCATAGGTAACAGCAGACAACTATTCATGCATCTCAAGGAAACCAGAAATAGTAATCCGACTGTTAGCGAGGCCATATCGAAAAATGACTGAACTATCATTCATTCTCATTGCAGAAGATAGGACATATGGACGGAACACTGTAGGAAACAGTTCAACGGGCCTTTAGCAACATTTCGGTTATATACGATCTCCAAATAACCTGAATGGAGAAGTGTTGTAAGTCTTTCAACAGTTGATCAGGTTGTAAAGGTTATAGCAACTTAAAGTGGGGTCAAAGAAGCAGGTTATGTTGGACTTGGTTTAGTTTTAGCACTGAGAGTGACAGAGATCCCAGTTTATAAAAAAAGACAAAAGTCCTCTTCTGACAGTCACAGAGGAATCAGTCTAACTATTATAGTATATATATCATTGGCTTCAGTAATACTGCGACGCAAAACTAGGGCTGTGGGGATCAGAAAAGAGAAAACCAAGGTGGGTTCAGATATGAATGTGGATGTATAGCCTAGATATTCACACTTCGTCAGGTACTCCGACGTAGACAAACATTTCGGCGTCCCACAATAGATATAATCCTCGACTTTAAGGCGGTATTCAACTCTATCAATCATGAAGTTCTATGGCAGTGTCTGTCATTGAGAGGTGTACCAAAGAAGTATGTTAGACTTAAATAAGCTCACTACTCCAACACTACTGTTTGAGTAGCAACTAATGGCGAACTGTCATCGGAATTGATTGCTTCAAGTGCTATCCGTCAAGGATGTCTATCATCTTAAGCAACAGTACAGGTATGTTCGGGATGCGGTTTTCCCCCTCGAAATGCAAAATGTTGCTTCATGAATGGGTTGCATCGGCACCTGAACTAGTGATAGGGAGTGAAGTAGTCGAGCTTGTCGGCCGCTCAACTTAACTGACGAGTTTCATCGGTGCTGATGGCCTGGTGACTGACGAAATCTCAGCGTGGATACAGAAAGCTCGATTGGCGTTTACCAACTTGCGTCACTTATGGTGTAGGCAAGATATCCGTCTACCAACCAGATGATGGGTTTACTACACAACAGTTAGCTCCGTCCTACTATATGGGTGTAAAACATAGCCAGTCAGAGTCGAGCATATTCGTAGGTTGCTTGTTTTCCATCATAGGAGTCTTCGAAGCGTCGAGTAAGCAGTGCCGTTGTTAGGAAACGGGTGCTAGGTAAGGATGGCAGATAAATAGATGAAATATTGTAACTTCATCAGTTCAGGTGTTAGGACATGTGTTGCTTATGCCTAACCACTGACTACCTCGTCGAGCGATGTTGTCTAATGTAGGAGTAAGCTGGAAGCTAGGGGCGGCCAGGTCAAAACATGGCACAAATCCATGAAGTCACTGACAAGTGGACTAAGTCATGTCGTTAGGTTTCAACTACCTGGTTTGGGCCCGCGAGATTATAGTAATCTATGGTTAGATACCCTGGATGATATGGCTCAAAACCGTTTGCAATGGTGCAGGTGCATCCATTCTTCATCTTCTCTCAAATTCTAATCTTCTGATTGCCTCAAGACCTTATTGACTCTTTATTAAATTAATCCTTCTGGGTATATTTCTCTAGTGATTTATTCCATCACCTATCTTTTTGATTACCGCTACTACTTCTACTACCTCTACTACTAAGAGATTTGAATCGATAATTCGATATCTGTGCGCTAATGTGGTGTGGCAACTTGAACTAATGTACGTACATACAAAGATTTACGTTGTAACCTACTAACTGGCTATTAATCTATGAGAATTAAACTTACTTCTATAGTAAAAATAATAATAGCTCATAAATATTTTTAGACAACAAAAAAAGCAAGATTGTCAATGGAGTCTTTATCAAGTGATAAACATTTTTTACTTAACCACCTCCTTATTCCATTAGAGTAGAACGTTCACATTCACAAACTTTTCTAGTCCTCAAATACCGATTTACAACACTGTAAAATCATTTAAAACAAAATCGTACAAAATCTAAAATTTGTCGCTTACATATCATAAATTTTATCAGATTCTTGTAGTTTGTAGTACCAAATATCACCTACTTGACAATTAATAAAAGAGTTCGAAACGACAGATTTCAAGTTTCCTAGATCCAATCCGTGAATCACACGTGGAGGTGGTTTATCTGACTGTGAACTCCTTTTATAAAGAAAATAGATACAGAAATAAAGGTTTATGGAGGTTTTTTCAAGTCAATTATAGCACAATAATTTGCCAAATATACTCGATCGTATGATTGAAAAAGTAAACACATCTGAGAAAGTCATCAACTCACAAACGAGATGCGAAGTCGTGTACTTGGTTGCAAGTGACACCCTAAGTGTGAAGGCTAGTGACACTATGCAGTTTCTCAAGCTGAAGTAGGAAGAATAGGGTTTGAAAAGTTAACTAGTGAGCTATTATGAATGTGTGTATAGTCGGAACATAACATATCATCAAAACAACAACGGAAATTTAAGAGAAAAGAACCACTTAAAGTAACCGATTCCGATGACAGTTCGCCATAAGCTCTAACTCGACCTGTAGTGTTCGAGTACGTACCGTCCCGCCTTGTCGGACAGTGCATAAGCGACTGTCAGCCGAAATACAGTATAAGAGAGCTTGTGCGTTTTGGAGACACAACATACATCTAACCTTCGGGATCACAGACTTAGACCTAATGAAGCCTGTTGCCCTATTTAGCACAATCTTCGAACATTAAAAGCCCCAATATGTAGTTCAGATCCGGGTTTCAGGAGACCAGGAATAATGTTTCAAGAGCTCAAATCGTTTGCTTCAAAGGTGCAAGGTGACAAACGATCGAAGGAAGAGTTGGTCAGAGGAATAAGAGAGTCATTAGGTGTAGAAAGAATTTAATTGTGATCAATTCGGTCTCGTGTGCTTTTATGGGTATCAGGTCAGATGTTACTTCCCAGCTGCCCACACCATGGGAGAGTTCTGGTTCTCAGAAGGGTCGTCGTCCTCATCACTTCTGAAGGAACTTGGCTTTCATCATGAGACGTCATAACTCTTCTAAATGAAGACCTTCTAACTCCCAGAGCAAAGTTTATATGGTTTGAATTATTATTTCTTGTTAGCGTTTCTTAGCAAGTTAGCATTTTTCCGGGATTGGGTCGCCAACCCAAAGCCCAACCCTCTTCCTTTATCCGGGCTTGGGACCGGCAGTAGTCTCGGACGGTCTACAGGCGGAGTTGTGTGCAGTAGAGAAGCCAGACCATCTGCCCATCCCATGATGTTTTCATGTCCAGTGCTATTCATGCCAACCTTGGCATTTAGGTATCCCATTAGAATTGTCGAATCCTTTGATGAGCATCTGTCGACGATTGACTGCAGCCTTTCGTAGGATTGATCTTTATCGTCGTCATTGTAGTCGTTGGTGGGTGCATAGCATTGGATGATGTTCATTGTAATGCCCTCTTTCTTTGTTTTGAAGGATGCTTTTGATCCTGGGTCCATGAGATTCCCATTCTATCAGTGCTTTTTGCGCTGGTTTGGACATCAGTGCGACTCCTTGTGAGTGTGAGGCATTTTCTTCTTCAAGGCCGGAGTATAACAGCAGCTCTCCTAAAGCTAGTCTCAGCTGTCCAACTTACGTCTAATGCTCTTCACTGATTTCAAGCACCTCTAGGTTGTATCTTTTCATTTCTGCAGCAACTTGGAATAGTCTTCCAGTTTCCTACAATGTACGAATATTCCATGTACCTAAACGAATGGTTTCTCTGGTTGTGAGAAGGTGCATCGGTCTCGTGACTTCCGAAGGAACTCGCCTTTCATCATGAGACGTCATAACCCTTCTAAATGAGGACCATTTAACTCCCATGGTAGAGTTAAAATGGTTTGAATTACTTTTTTTGAACGAGTTAGTTTTTTGCGGGATGGAGTCGCCAACCCTCCTCCTTTATACGGGCTTGGGACCGGCAGTAGCCCAGAGGATCATAAATAGCCTTTGTGGTTTTTCACTTTGACAGATATGATAAGACATCAACAAGTATACATCCCAGCTAATACAGCACTATTAGAGCATAGTGACGGTCCGGTTAGGCAAATATGTATGGATCAGAGTGGAGACCAAGAAAATTAACAGTCTAATGCAATCAGATGCCATAAATTTATTAGATACATTAAATTATCCAACTAGGCTATAAATAGAAGTTAAACAAACTCACCGATTCGCAAACCAATGGACGGTGGCTTCAACAGGAGCAAAATGTTCTACACAGAATACAACGTCTACGCTAGATTTCAATCGAGAAAGCCAAACCGAATTATGAGAGGGCGTTTCAACTAGGAAAATAGGCGTACGTTTCAAAAGGCATGTAATTTGTTCAGGATGACGAGCGAAAGTTTTAGTGACAGGATATTGTGCAAGTGCTTGAAGAAATTTAATAGGATGTCCAAGTGGAAATGTTTCATTGGCAGAATGCAAATTACTATAAACATTGGACGGCGGTGTTGATTCTAAGTTTGTTGACTTATCCATATTACGACATTTATCAGAGGATGAATCCACAGGTAAACTGAGGAAATCAAATTTACTGGATTTTGACGAATTCGTACTAGATCTTAATTCCAAAGCATCGCCAATTAACCAAATACCTTCGTAATTATTATTCATATATTCATCTGGTGCTGATAGAAATGGTTCAAAACATTCTAGGCAATTATCTCCAACAAGAAGTCTAATTATGGTAAATAAAACAAAGCATGGAATATAGGCATGAAATTCAATTTTGAGAGTTATAAACAATCAACACACCTGCACCATTCCTATCAATTGCTAAATTTAATCAAATAATGCAACTCGTTTATTAACAAGAGTACCGTTAAAGAAAGCCAAGAGTAATCAAACCCAGAAATGGTATTAGTCCATGAAGTAATTAGTTTTTGAACTGGATTTTGCAAGTAGATATTAACTACCTGATTGGGTTAAACACAATTATCGTAACGAATGATTGAAGATGGATGATGTGATTCAGAATCGATCGCAACGAAGCGTTTGCTTAAATCATGAGTTTTAAAATTCATTATACTCATGCTTACGTTGTATTGCCTATTTCTAATATTTCGTATTATCAATAATACTGTTACTGTTTCAACTATCCAAGCATTCGTCATGATAACTTCATTTCACTGTGAACCAATGTAAAAATGTGGCAGGCTCTACTTTGCTGATGGTTGACTGACTGAAGTACAAGATTGCCAATGATTTTAGGCCACACTTTATTAGACGATCATTTCGATAGTTTAAGCAAAACATGAAGCACAGCTCGAACCTGAAGTAAAAGAATGTTAGGTGGATTTTATTAATCAAACAAAAATTCATGTTGGTTAGTATCTCTACTATTTATACTCTTTTGTGCCAGATTTTTGTTATTCTTTATTCATTCACAAATCTCGCCATTGTATATTCGACCCTTTTCTTCCGTAACAATTACATACTTGCAGAGAAAAAAAAGCATTCTTAATCGAATGTTATAAATTTTTAATTTGATATTTTTTGAAACAACTTTTGGCTAAAAATTAGGTACAATGTAAGCAAAATGATTGTTAGTCACATGCAAAAACACAGTCTCAAGTGATGAAAGTGAACTAATAATTTCCTCATGACCAGTTGGCAGATATCTTCACTAAATTGAAAAGACTTCCTCAATTATCGATTTTTAAGTTTTTGCAAGAAAAGATATTGGTTATAATATATATATATAGGTCTTGTGATACACAAGTTGAATGAAATATACTATTTAGTTTTTTTCCATCAAAAAGAACTCTTAGAAGAATTTGCAAAAACTGTATTAAAATAATTCTTGTTCACACAAAGTACACCACGTAAGATTAATAATAATAATAATAATAATAATAATAATAATAATAATATCTAACTCAAGATGAAAATATACCACTGATTGTGTGCAGATCTACTTTGTCGGTGTATGGTTACCATTTAACAAGAATATCATTTTGAAAGCTGGGAGGCAAAATTTTCTATCGCATGATGACAAGTAGTACTAAAGGGGTAACTGAGAATTAATTACTTTTTTAGACGAAAATAAAAATCTACTGTGCAGATTTTTTTAGAACCACACTTATGTAAATTTCCCAAAATTAGGAACTGGACCAAGTATTAACGACCGGGTTGCAGAGGCGAACTCTAGTTATGTACTTAGATGAGGGAAACTTAACAATGGGTAGAAACACACACACCTGTATTATTGGGATAATATTAAAGGGTTAACAAGATGTTTCTGATATTTTACAGACCTTAAAATTTAGAATAACGGGTGTATTACAGTCACGTATTTTTAGTGATTTAAAAATACAATCAAAGTGCGAATCTGATGGCTGAAAGTGTAATAGTTTCAATAGTTAATGCTCATTTATATCCCACTTTGGAGTTATATAAAATAGCACGATCAATGGTTAGCATAATCTGAAAGTTGATTTTAAACTAAATAATTCAAATTATAGGTTTAAAGCGAAACCCTCAGCATTAGTCAAACAAAATACTATGCACATACATATGTTCAACATTTTGTTTTGAAAGCTAAATACAAAATGATTGAGTTCTTGAGCATTTTTCAGACGTAAAATTACTATGTGCAACGTCAGCGTTTACTAGCCATTTCATTGGGGAAGGTAAGAAACACACATAAGTATGCTGCGAGTTATAAAGAAATACCATAACTTTAGGAAAGCAGAAACAGTAATTAGTTAAAAAGATATTAATAAATAATTTGGCCACCTGATCAGCTTAAAATATTGTGCGTTGTCTATCGTTAACAAAACCATCTTAAAAATTATTTTCAAAACTGTTCAGAATTTTCAGAAAATATTACTTACCGTGCACCATCTAAAAATCGGATGATTGCCATAAGACGACAATCTGACACTCGACCAAGCCAACTATTCCAAATCACATAGTTTTCGTCGACATGTGTGGTCCATGGCTAAAAATGAAATGTATTTGAAGTGAGATATTTACGCTGCATAGAGATATCAGTTTTGTTACTGATTTACAGCTAACGAGTGAGTTATACAACGAGGACTGAAAGAAAGATAACATCATAACATATTCAAACGAACACGCAACTAAGAGAGCTTTTGAAAAAATAACTGGTGGAACTCCATAAAAATGATGTCGCACTAAAAAAACGAAATTCTCCATGATCGGCTCCAGTGCCGTAAAACCGGCCTTTCAAATAAAAGACAAATTAGAAGTGAACCGTATTGATTAGGCTCGATAGAGTTTACAAGATGAGTTTTCAGAACCAATATACTAGAAAATAAGCCTTGAAAACTTATATGTTCTTTTGACACATACAATATTACTGTTTGGTAACACATCTTAACAAGAAAGAAGTTTATCTTTATAACCTAAAACAAACGTTATTGTGTCATTAATAGGGCCCACTTACGCAACTAAAATACCTCCTTTCAGCTAGTGCGTTATCAATGAAAAATTCTAACTTGCTAAGAACTAGACAGAAGCCGGTCGGCCTCTGATAAACAATGTATGAAAAACATCAACATAGATCTTATACTTTCTTCTAACAACAAAAGAGGTTAATGAGGGGCCATTAACAGGAATTAGCCGACCAACAATTCGTCAGGCCATCTTAACTTTAAACAATAAGCAGCATGTCAAAACGACACTTTAGGTAACTGACAAAAGATGTTCAAGAAAACCAAACTAGCAAACACAAAAGTGATAATAAGACAGCAAGGAACCAATATATCTCGCAGTTGGACCCAAAATTATCATACAGAAAATCCACTACAGATTAAATACACATATATATCATAAAAATAGTAATTTCAGAAAGATTCGCAAGCTGTTATGTGGCTTTATAAGTAAAATCTGTCATTTGTGAATTGCATTTGTTTCCAAATCTAAGTCAAAAACCAAAAGTATAACACAGAATAACAGATGAATAAGTTAATTCGAATTCCAAATTAAATTCCCCAAGTGTAAGCTATCAGGGCATTACAAATACACATAAACCGCTCTTGAACCGCATGTACAGTGAGAACAGAAATACCAGTTTTTCGTAAGATCGGTTTGCCATACCCAATAAGTCAACAACAACATAGAACTTCGTACTTACGTACAACAGTTCAAGTTGCCATATCACATCAGCACATAGATATAATGGTCACTTCATATCCCAGAGTAGCAGAGGTAGTAGAAGTATTAGCAGCAATCGGAAATTTTAGGGTTCGACGATATTATTCCAGAAGTATAATCGATCGAAAGAACTTAAAACGAAAAAGATCTAGGTGATGAGGAACTCCGAATGATAGGATTTTAGATAACACAAAAACTGGATGCACCTGTGCCATTGCAAAAGGTTTCGATACTTCATCTGTTGATCTGTCATCCTTACCTAGCACTCGTTTCCCGACGACAGCATTGCTTACTCGGTTATCCAGAATACATGAGCAATGCTTCGGAGACACCTATGATCGAAAACAAGCAACCTACGAATATGATCTACTCTGACTGGCTATGTTTCACACCCATATAGTAGGACGGAACTAACTGCTGCGCAGTAAACCCGTCATCTGGTTGATAGACGGATATCTCGCCTACTACATAAGTAACGCAAGTTGACAAAAGCCAATCGAGCTTTCTCTATCCATGTTGAGACTTCTTCAGTCAACAGGCCATCAGCACTGACGAAATCCCCAACACAAGTGAAGTGGTCGACACGCTCGATTACCCCACATCCTGTCACTATTTCAGGTGCCGATGCAACCCATTCTTGAAGCAACATTTCGCATTTCGAGGGGGAAAACCGCATCCCGAACATGCTTTCATTATTGCTTGAGGCAGTCAGAAGACTGCATATTGTCAGCGTCTTCATCAAGTAGAACTGTCAACCAGCGAATCTCCGGGTAGGTCCACTCCTGTAAAATTAAACAAGAATGGAGAAAGTGGACATCCCTGACGGACACCACTTGAAGTAACCGATTCCGATGACAGTTCGCCATAAGCTCTAACTCGACCTGCAGTGTTCGAGTAGAGAGCCTGTAGTGGTATAGTTTTACGAAGTTAACACAATTGCTGAAATATTAACATTTATTATTGTACTTAATTCTGACAATAATTGCTATATTGTACTCCTTTTTTTATCTGTGAAAAAGACTATCTCTCGCGCACCAAGCGTGTTTTTCCTACTCCGCTCTTCTCCTAGCTCGTTGTTAGCCACTCCTGAACCCTAGTCTCGTCATTATTTCGATAGCACGAGGCTAGCAATAAATATACTTCTTCATCCAGAATAATCGTTTCTTTGACTTCTGGATTATCGCGATTTACCTTAGTAATCGCGCGAAGAAATATATTTATTTCGACTTACTATAAGGCTGTGTAAGGTCAATGTACTTCTCTGGTACTCCTTTTAACGACAGACACTGCCACAATACCTCTCGATCGACAGAGTCAAATGCTAGCTTAAGGTCGGGAAATACTACTATTCCGAATTTTCTGAACGTGTATCTTTGCTGTAGGACCTGACGTAGTGCGAATATTTGGTCTATACAGGCACGTCCAGGTCGAAAACAAGCCTGCTTTACTCAACCTGCTCCTCACGAGCTTCCGTTAAGCGTCAGAGTATTATCGAGGCCAATATTAGTTAGGCTGATTCCTCTGTGATTGTCACAAGAAGACTTTTGTCCTTTCTTGTAAATTGGGACAATCAGCGATTGAGACCAGTCGGATGGGATTATGCCTAGTTCCCAGATTCTACCTAAGATCTCGGTCAGTCTAACTGCTAAAACTGGACTACCATCCTTTAAAATCTCAGAGGTCAATCTATCAACACCCACTGCTCTCCCTTGCTTCAGATTTCCTATAACTTTTTTGACTTCATAAAGCCATTCTGGATGACTGGGGATCGTGGGCAACCGAAGTGTGGCTGATGGCCAGTTGAACTGATCCCTTAAGTGTTCTGCCCATCGATCCAGTCTTCTGGATTGAGAATGAATAATAAGACCATTTTTTACTGAGATAGTCTCACTTACATTCGGAATCCTAATACCGGTCTCCTGATAAGTCTGAATAGTTGCCTACTGTTGCCTGTCACTGATCTCTCGCTTTCGCTACCCACCACTGTTCGCGATTATTGCGTAGGTTTTTATCAGCCTGAGCCTAAGCTGACTACTAGCCAGACGGCGAGCATCCATCAGTTCGAAAGATTCTACTGAAATACATTGCTTCTCCCTAACCTTGTGGTTTACTTTACTAACAGATATCACTGCTGTTTCTACAGCTTTTTGGAAATCATTCCAAGCTACCTCCGGACAGGAATTGCTTACATGGTCGCCTAACTGTTTCTATAGTTGTTCCTGAAATACATTCTTAGCTTTATTATCATCAAGTAGAGCCCTAACAGGTTTCGTTGTGATATATTTCTTACGTTCAGTAAGACGCAATGGACCATGATCTGAGTCTAAACAAGTGCTCCACAATGAGCGGCAGCCCCTTCACCGAGGCTTATAGCGATGTGATCTATTTGGGTCCATCGTTGGGTCGGCTTTGGGGGTCGCCAGGTCAAGAGATGTTTTTCTTTATGCTTAAAGTTAGTGTTTGCTAGAAATAGGCAATTATCTTAACATAGCAGCGGCATTGAAGTCGGCCACGGGAGTCAGCATCAGCGCTTTCAGAAACACAAAGCGTACACTGTGTTGTTTCTCTATCTCCACTCGGTGAAATCGATTTGATAATTTTACTCGGATCTTGTATGCGCGTTTCGGAGCCGCGACATACATCTAACCTTCGGGATCACAGACTTAGACCTAATGAAGCCTGTTGCCCTATTTAGCACAATCTTCGAACATTAAAAGCCCCAATATGTAGTTCAGATCCGGGTTTCAGGAGACCAGGAATAATGTTTCAAGAGCTCAAATCGTTTGCTTCAAAGGTGCAAGGTGACAAACGATCGAAGGAAGAGTTGGTCAGAGGAATAAGAGAGTCATTAGGTGTAGAAAGAATTTAATTGTGATCAATTCGGTCTCGTGTGCTTTTATGGGTATCAGGTCAGATGTTACTTCCCAGCTGCCCACACCATGGGAGAGTTCTGGTTCTCAGAAGGGTCGTCGTCCTCATCACTTCTGAAGGAACTTGGCTTTCATCATGAGACGTCATAACTCTTCTAAATGAAGACCTTCTAACTCCCAGAGCCAACCCAAAGTCCAACCCTCCTCCTATATCCGGGCTCGGGACCGGTAGTAGCCTCCGGCGGTCTACAAGCGGAGTTGGTTTGCCTTATTTCGACTTAATACTTTATATGCAAACACTGACCTGCTGGTGAAGCTGTCTAACTGTCAGTTTAAGTCACAAATAAATATTCTTATTAATGAGGTCTAGGAGACGGTTTTCGACTAAAGGCGTTCAATAGAGGAACTTTCATATTGTATCGCAAAATACAGGACCGTTAAATGACAAATGACTATTTGACTTTGATAATGAACTATTGAGATAACCGAAAAGATGACAAATGATCATTATTGCAATCACAGTTTGGGGGCTTAGTATTCTGGACGTGTATAATACAAAGTAAAGCTAGATTCATCAATATGAACCACTTTTTATTCAGTTATAGTGAAAATCATGTACGTTTCCATGTTAACTATTTTTTACTATGCTTTGCGACTGCAAACAATGGAATAACTTTGCTAATTAAACGTTTGCTTATGTACCATAGTAACGTAATACCATTCTGAACATGACATATCCCTCGGTTTTCGACTGATATTAGTTTTAAAATAAGCTGCTCAATCTACGGAACACCACACCAAATAAACTGAATAAATACGCTGTAAGAATGTGAAGTAAAATATGGCGGTATAAAAAAACAAAATAGCTTGCTTACATATACACTTCTTAGATGATCACACTGAATATCGAACATGACCCTCTGGTGGTCTAGTATTTCTGCATGAGCTGTCATATAAACATTTGAAACTGTTCCAATCATATTGGTTTCCAAGCTTTGGATGACCTCCCCAGGCATATAACTTCTATCCAAAAAGTGAACTTCGTCTGATTTTAAATTGAACGGTAGGGAGCAACTAGATTTAAATCCGAAAGTTCTCCACTCTACTTTGATCTAAATTTTTGTATCATTACAAGTAATAATAAAATTATAATGACGTATATGATTCGGGTAATGGCATAAATTGATTAAGAAATGTGACAAAAGACTAAGTGTTGAATGAAGTCAAATTGTAGCACCTATAGCATTTCTGGAACATTTACAATTAGTTTAGACTTACAAATCCTAAGTCTCAAAAAATCTCTTCAGATACTAACATTCAGGCTTGATAATCCTGTTCTAGATATGTATTCTCAGAAATGAAGATGAAAAGCGTATCTGCATGACTACTTTTATAATACGCATTACCCCGAATATGGCATAAATGAGCAAATATCTTCATATGAACGAAGATAAAGAGACAAGAAAAGCGTGTCTGATGTGTCTCCCGCGTTAAACTCCGAAAATTGTGAAAGTTTTAGATATGGATTCCTTGCCGAAATCGAAAGATTTAAAAAATCCCCTTATGAAATAAGATGTTACATGGGAATTTCAAAGCGTCTGATAAATATTTGAATGATATGAACATTTAAGCTTATGTCTGAAATCTTATGATTTGGTTTCTCAAAAAAATTTCCATAGTACTATAAAAGTGAACAGACTACTTTGATCAGTCGTCAGTAAGCAAGTGCACAGACCAACTACTCGACAGGGTAAGAAAACATTCCTAAATATGATAAATGCCAAAGACGTAAATATCTTTAATGAATTAAGAGGTCATACAAATTACCATATTTTCCTTTTCACATTTATCATTACCACTTTCGGTTTCATTCCGTGACAAATGAGCACCTGACATCACAACTGATCCAATGTAAGCGCTTTTTGTCGGTTTGTGCAAATAGTAGACGACATCTCCCTTAAAAGTTTGATTACCGGACAGAACTGACATTACGAGTCCCTCGTGCTTAGAGTTTCAGAATACGCGCTTGTTCTTGCGAAGGTCGTACTAGATTTCCAGGCTATCAATAATCTAATATGGAATTTAGCTATTCGAGCAGCTTGCGTTCAATTAAAGCATTTGTTTAAAAGAATTTCAGAGGCATCATTTAGAGCGGGTTTAGTTGCCCTGTTACTGTAGCCATTATAGATTCTGCCAAAACTAAGTAACTGATGGTTGTTTGACTACAAAAAGTATATTACAAACGGCTACTAACCGGATCGCTTGAAGAAGTATCCACATTATATCGCATTTCGATCTTAGCACAGGCATTTTGGATCGGTCTCGATAGTTCTATGTCAAAGCCAAATAATAGTTATATGGACTTCATTCTCTAATTCTTCAGTGGGTACCGAAACTATAGGGCTTTACCATAAATACCTGATGAGCTCACACAGAATAATGGAAATCATGAATTCTGTTGTTGCAATGAGAAATGACTGTAATATGCCGCGAACCACCTCTGGTTATGAACTAAAACACGGTAAATCCTGTTCTGCAAATAGCAAGAACTGATGACGAGATGCATCAGGTAAAAAGTCTACAAGCTCCTAGTTAAAGTTGTAGTGTGTCCATTTACTGCGTGTTCTTAATGTTCGTGATTAGCTCGTCCAGACAATCGTTACTAAATAGCATCTGACGGTTTACTAATCAGAAAGTGAAGTCGAAGTGGTGAATACGTTTATTTGGGACACACCACAAAGCGAAGCGCAGAAGCAATGAGTAAAACGAATGAAGCGACGTGAACTGGAAAAGGCGGTTGAGCAAACTCCAAGAGATAGAGCATGACTAAGAATATATAGTCCGACAAAAATAAGACAGACATGTGATCAATGAGACAGTCATGCACACACATGAATAAAAGTGGCGAATGTTTGACAAGGTCAAATGAAAAGTGGGGCACGTCATGTGAGCTCATACAAACCAGAGAATAATAAGAACGAATGGTACATATAAGTTTTTGCTAATCAAATGGCTTGGTTACATAAATAAATCGAAAGGGGTTAATCAAGTTAGATGTAAGCGAACTGGAATATACATGGAGGCTCTACAAAGTGACCAAGTCTCCAGCAGTTATACAGGCTAATATTTAAAGAGTATGATGAGGTTCTGAAGAAGAGCGATAAAGAGAAGGGAGCATGTAATGGAACAGAAATTATTCTTTTTTAAAGCTGAGTCATGACTCAGCAGATAAGGTATGATTACGCAAACCATCCTTCTTCTGCATTAGAACACTAACTGCACACCCGCACTAGTACGATAAAGAATGGGCAAACAATCCTATTAATAGAGGAAGTTCAAAAGAACTAAATTATTAGAAATCATGTTTATTTACAGAATGTAATAATGGAGTTACAGTGATCTGATACTTTGGTGATATTTCGTTTGTTGTTTTTTAGCTTTGTAGCTCAAAAAGTCACGAGTGGGCCCTTTTTCAACTTAATTGTCCTAATCTTCTTGTAATAGGATTTCTTGTTAAAAAGTGAATCCAGTTCAAAGTTATCAGTATCACTGATTAGTCGCAACCTGTTATATCGTGAGGAACCGTAAGTAATCGAAAAGTTTTGCCCCACAGACATGGGTACATTGAGGTTATCGCTCCACCGTCTTGAATGAAGGCCAGGTATACCACTATATCTCCTTTTACGATTTTAGGCTCGCTTACGTTCAGTGGTAGATTTTAATTAAATTTTTCAGGCCAAGCTCTATTTTATACACCTTGTTGGAATACTTTTTCTCTGCTAGCTCCAAGTTACAAGCAAATCAGACAACTTTGGCTTCTTTATGTTGGACAAAATATTCGCGTAGCGTATCACACTGATATTTGTTACGAGAAGCAGTAGGTGTCTGTTATTCCGTCATACTTTCCCGAGTGGTAATGCTGGCGCAATATATTATGGTCTGTTATTAGTTTCTAGGATTATTTTATATATTAGACGGATGTGGTGTTTGAATGGACTAGTGATTTCTTGGTTGTTGTTGAATGCCTGATTTCGAATTCTAAATACAGTATATTCTTCCGTGCTTATCTAGTAGTTCTTGATCCACTAACGTTATTTCTGGGATTATTAGTTAATGCAATAATTCAAATGCTTATAATTATCATATTGGCGTCGCGATGGAGCTGGTGATGGAACAGTTAGATATTCATTCAACTTCTGAAGCTTTTGAGGATTATTTGGAAAGGTTTGAAATCTGGAGCATGACCAAGAAAGATGTTAAAGATGATAAGATTGTGGCACATTTCCTGACATTCATTGGAAGAGAATGGTATAGTTTGTTAAAAACTTTGGCATATCCGGAAAAACCTATCTCACTTCCCTATGCAACGCTTAAAGAGTTATTATTAGATCATGTAAAGTGCACTAGTTTTGAATACCGTGAAAGGGCGAAATTTCATAAGATGATTCGTCAAAATGATCAAAAGGTTAAGGAATTCATTCTTGAATTGCAGAGTCAAGCTGTCAAATGTAATTTCGGTGATCAACTTCATGTGCAACTGAGGGGCCGATTAATTGCAGGAATTAACATACCGGGTTTGGAAAGAGAGCTGTTAAGAATGTCGAACTGTTCCTTTCAAAATTTTAGAACTGCGTGCATTAATTATGAGGCTTTGAATGAACTTGACATTCAGTCCATGAAGATTTCTAATAATTCGATTAGTTGTTACGATGAAATACAATCTCAGGGTCAATCAAAATTGTGTTCGTTTAACAGAGGTTCCTATTCTCGCGTAAATATGAACGGTGTTTCAATAAAGAATTACAAAGGAAATCACAGAGGTGAGACGAAGTTTGGCAAATGTTTATCATGTGGAAATCTTCATTCTCGTAACGTTACGTGAGAAATGAAGACATTTGGCTGATTAAAACCTTTATATAAATATCATTAACTTCACTGTTTTTTGGGTATATTTGTTTTACTTAACTTACGAACTTGTTTGAGAATAAATTATTATTATTATTATTTTCGGACATTTTGGTTTCTGTTTGTCTTGGTTTGCTAATTGGGAGTTTTTGCTGCAGAAACCTATAAAATTGAAGAACGACATTTTGGTCGACTATTTGTGAATTGCGAATAAACTTTGGTACCTAATTTTGGAGTTTGGTTCTGTTGTTAAATTGGGTTCATGAATTGCAAATAGATCGACATACTGTACTTCAATAACGGCAAGGAGAAAAACATGGGCGTAACAGTAATTATGTGCATTTCGTAATGCTAAATTTTTAAGATGTGGTGAGATAGGACATATTCAAGCAGTATGCAAAGCTACTGTTCATTTTGCCTCAAGTAGTACTAAATCTTGTAATTTAGATCCCAATAATTCAGCTGATCCTAATGATCATTTATCTTTGTCTACCATTTCGAAAGGTAATGCTCATATTCAAAAGCGATTATATACATCCCTTGGTTCATTTCATGACTTTATTGTGGACACAGGCAGTATAGAGTCCACTATTTCATTCAAGAACTTGAAATCGTTCTATCCTAATGTTGTGGTACGACCCACTGAAGTATCAATATTGGGGATTACTGGACACAGACTACCTATACGAGGATGTTGTGAATCGCTAATAAGGGATGATAATTCCTCATACATACCTTGTGAATTTTTAGTTAGCGAAACAGGACTGTCAATACTGGGTTTAAGGAATTTGAAAAGGCTTAATGTGGAGTTGTCTTTCCTAGTTTCTAAAGAAAATTTTGATGCTTTGTAGATTTATTTCGACGGTGGCTGTCCTAATTGCTTCCAATAGAAACACTCCTGTACGTTACTCCTAGATCCAGGTCCCAGCCAAATCAAAAGGGCAAAATTCTAGGAGAAAACGTGGTATTTTTGTTTCTTCCAGGACTAAATTACTCCGTAGAGTATCCAGTACAATAGCTAGTAAGTGACACTAAGTCCAGCAGCCACCGCGTCCATCCAAAAATGTGGCGGTAGCCATATTATATCAAATTTAAACAATATATGTACAGTTCAAAAGCAAACACAAAAACTTCAATATAAGTACAAAATATAGAAAGAATAACAACATACAATGGTAAAAATCTCAAATTGGAATCAAATAAAATACCAAAAATGTCAAGAGAAAAGGTCCATCATGTCATAGCAAAAATATGTAAACATGGAGGGATTTTCCAAAACACGAAACATTCAAAAAGAATTCTACACCGGCCCGCAAAATCCCTCCATGCAAAAACAGCAAGCGTTAATGACACCTTATTTAGGGTTCCCATGTTATCCCCTAATCCACACCGGAATAACGTGTAGGACTTACAGCAGTACGCCTACCCGCCATCCAACATGGATATGACCTATCGCGCTAACTAGAGTCCTATACTTTCCCATCAGGCCCTTGATTCCCCTATCTATCGTGGAATGACCTAACGGTAGTATAAACCTTACCCAATTAACCCATACGAACATGAACAACGCGTCGCAAAACTGGTCATATCCTATCCAAGGACTACATTCTCTATCGTGGGGACGAGTCGCCAATCCACCACCACTTGCTCCGATCAGCAGATACCATGAAGTCCGTGATGCTAACTTATCAACAGAAGTTTTTGACCCATAAATAATATGCAAGGGTGGGATCTCCAATTTTGACATTTCATCGTCTCCAGAAGACCTTAAGTAGCATGACGTAGGATCAATATTTATCCTTCCATCTCCTGATGCAGAGGAGGGTTGAACAGTATTCATCATCGTCGGTAACTCATTTGTCACCTCAGTGACATCCAGTTTATTATCAACGTCTAATTGATTCCGTTCTGCATTAGCATCCGTTTCCGCGGCACAAGACATACGCTCAACAATAGCATCGTCATCACACAGCACTGTAGACTGGCTGTTACCATCAAACACTTTCTTCTCATCATCACTCGACTGACAGTCAACCGTAATAGGAACAGTTACAGTTGCACAACCTTGTGCATCTTCAATCAACTTAACCTTCGTGACGAGGTCCGATGGCGTCGAAACACTAGGAGGCTCAT